GGCTGGGGATCGAACCCCGGACCTTCCGCTCTCCGGGCGGACGCTCTACCATTAGACCTCGGAGGAACATTTAAGAGGACCACTGCTATTCAGTGGGCTATATTGGAATAGCAGCGGCACCAGTGGTATGTTCGATGCACATTAACAGCCAGGTACAGCCATGTGCAGCTAGTTCTATAAACTGTAAACAGTCCTGGTCTATAAAAAATATAATTATCTCACACACTGGCAGGTATGGAGGAGCACAAATATATGGTAAGGAATCTACAGCTAAAAACCTCACTAAATATTTTAGGTTGTAGAATCTAATTGAAAGTCTACCTTAATCCAGCACAGGCTATGTCCATGCAGACAGCCCAGAGACATGCAATATGAAGCGTAGCCTAACGCAGACCAACCGAGACATGTACTACTCATTTCTAAAGCCGGGCAAACTGGTATATACTAGCAGACACTGGAGCACCATGGGAATTCGTGATCTATTTCGACACACAAGGTTATTTGAAGGTTACAGACCTAACGAGAAGCCTCTGTTGACAACTGCCTGTACCTAATGCATTACAGCGCCAATGTTATGTGATCGAATGAATGCGTTAGCTCTCAGTTTATGTTATATGAGGCGATTTCTAGATCTACCTAGGTCGGTCCACATTGCCTTTACCAGTGTTTCTCGGTCGATGAACTTCTGATAACAACTCACTGAGGCATTATAGTGCTGTGTGCTTCAGATCAAAGCGGCTCTGGTCATTGACTTCGCCATAATCGACCAACTCCCCATCACATGTTCAGCCTTAAGCATAAATGTCCTTTTCCCATCTTTCACATGTGTTTTGCCCTTAAACACGTATGCCCCTGAGTAAACATCGCCTACAAAGTCCTACATTTTAACATTGTTGCTCTGTCTACAGATTTGCACAAATGTCAAGGGAATATTTACGAAGTTAAGACAGACCGCCCGAATGAGAAATACCAACGTATTTTAAAACATCATACATCATTTTACTTAAGTGGAGACAACAATATTCCTATCGTACTTCGTATGGTGAACAACTGACTTGCCTTTGCATGTGTTTGTGACCGACAGGGCAAGATGCGATCTCCTTATCGCGAACACAAGATATCATCACTATTTGATAGGGATTCATAATCAGAATCGTTCAATGGACTCTGTTTTAACATCGATTTCTAATGATTATGGAAAGGACTTGGTCGCTTTTATTTGCACAAACTCTATCCTTACATAATCTTGTTCCGGCAGTCTCAAGCTGACGTCCCTGGTCGATTTATGTCAGCTTGAAACGTCTTCAAATGCACAACTGGTTTGAAACTGCGCACATTGTAAACAGTGAATGTCCTAAAGTATGATGGCTTGTCAAAAAGTTCTAAGCTTGACTAACTTTCAACTATGGGCCATAATAGAGTGAACTAGTCAATGTAGTACATTGTTTGAGTAGTTAATTGCAAGCGTATTTGGTCTGTTTAGGCCGTTTGTATATTAGTGATAGACAGTTGAATGTACCAGACCTGGCACCAAGTGATTTCCTAAACTGAAAGAACACCTTCGTGGAAAGCGCTATGACGACAACGATGACCTCAAACAGCCGTGAATGGGTTTTTCAGGGTGGCTTCTGTAAACCTCTTCCTGACTGGAACTGAAAAGCTTCACTATCGATATGAGAAGTGTATTGAAAAGCAGAGAGATGATGTTGAAAAATAAAATTTAAAACAACTTTTCGTTGGTTTTGTTTGTTAGGCGTAGAACCTTTTGACCAACCCTCGTATGGACCCCGTTAATCCGAACTCCATGCTTTCCGGAAGAGTGCTGTTAACATATATATGAATCTAAAGTGACATTGCAGTATATATACAGGATTGGATATTACATATTCCACGGATTGCAGGGGATTCACTACAGTTACGTCACCGGTGAACTAGGACCAGCTACAATTAGATAAATATGTGACCGCCGCATTGGTCTAGTGCTTCTGCCTAGAGAGCGGAAAGTCGGGGTTCGATCCCCGGCTGGGTCATACCAAACGACAGTAAAGATGTTACTTGTTGATACCCGTCCTGACGCTTGGCAAAAGGGGCTAAAACAAGGACAGGTCAACATAATGTGGGTTATCCATGTTAAACTGTGTCATGGTATCTCAGTGGGCGAGCACTATAACCGGCACTAGCCTGGAATAATACAAACAACCTCACTCACACGTTCCTGCACGTCTGTATACGAGTGAAACAGCATTGAACGCGTCGTTAAACCCACCACATCAAACCTCATCCCAGATGTTAAGTGTTATATAGTTTATATATGAATCGTTATGTCTTGAGTAAATTAAAAATACATCTATTAACTCCAAAGTGTTCTCTCATCATCAAGCTGGGAACATTAGAGTCCTGTTATAGGCTTTGACGCCATCACATTTCACAGGACTGTGCTGCAAGGGCATTTCAAGCTCAGGGTGAATGTCATGCTGTGCTGAACGATAGTGATTGATGGTGAGGTGAAATTTGGTTAAACGTCGCGTCCAAAATTATAGCACTTATATAGCGACGTGCATGCATGTGTGTGTATGTGTGTGTGTGTGTGTTTGGTGTGTTTGGTGTGTGTGTGTGTTTGGTGTGTGTGTGTGTGTGTGTTTGGTGTGTGTGTGTGTGTGTGTGTGTGTGTGTGTGTGTGTGTGTGTGTGTGTGTGTGTGTGTGTGTGTGTGTGTGTGTGTGTGTGTGTGTGTGTGATGTTTTTACATGTTAAGTTTAAGCCATCATATTTGCAAAATTGCATTTTAGAAAATATTACTGTGGTAAAAGAATATTCCGCTTTTTTCATAATCCCTTTTTAGATACACCTGAGAGAAGTAGAAATTGGACTCAAACAAAGAGGAGGTCATACATTTAAATATCTCTTCACCTGCCTGCATGGGAGTTTTTTTTTATCTCATGTATTACTGCACAATGTACTTATACAGTGTTTCCACTGGGGAATGTGTTATACTGCATTGATTATGTCATTTTTCAAGGAATATCTTTCATTCACGTGTCTGGATGCTTGTACTAGTCCGGACTGATGCCGATTTATAGTGCTAGCCCACTGTGCTAGCCGCAGTTTAACATGAACACCCCACTCAGACACAGTATACTGACTCCGAGCCGACCAGTCCTTGTTTTAGCCCCTTAATGTCGAGCGCCAGGCAGGGTAATAACAAGTACCATCTTTTGATGTCTTTTGGTTGGGGACCAGTTTGTATCAGATGTGACAGTTCTTCCACATTGTCTACACATACACCAACGTAACATAGCGACAGTGCCCTGCTGTTGGTGGAATAAAACGTCACATGAACTGTCAACTATAATATTCAAAGTAAGCACCATGGCAAAACTTAATATGCATGTCATTTGTTAGAATTATAATGTATTTGAAAGGAGGTGATTAATTCCTGCTGCAGTGTAATATTGATCTGGACAGTAAAGCAGTAGAATAATGTGCAATCATTATTTCATGATATTTTCCGGTGTTGTGTTCATGCTCATTCACAGTTACAAATCAATATTTTGACTTTTATATATGGGTGAAACTTGAGACTATCATTGTCACAAAATACATTCCTTTTATTGAATAAAATTCTATTGTTTGGACATGAGTGAGTGATTATGGTTTTACGCCGCTTTTATGGATATTCCAGCAATATCACGGCAGGGAACACCAGAAAAGGGGCTTCATTTCACACATTGTACCCATGTCGGGAATCGAACCCGGGTCTTCGGGGTGAAGAGCGACCGCTTTAACCACTAGGCTACCCTACCGCACTGTTTGCCCACGACACATCTACGTTTATAATATATTCATCAGGAAGATATTAGTAAAGGAAGACCACAGTGGTGCATTGTCAACGAGTACCCCACGAAAAACCCACGAGACCTGTACGGGAATGGTTTTTATAACCTAGAAGCATAATCGGAGTGAACCGGGATCTAAACTCACAATCATATGTTTCTGGCGTGCCCAAGGGACGCAACTCGCACAGCTAATTTCGGTGTCTCGGACGACTGGGCCACCCGTCCCACAGATAGAGGAAGACAGGATGAAACGGATATTTTACGACTCTTCAATAATTACAAGCGTTCCATCATTCGTCCCCACTCGACTTGTCACGGAATGGCACGCGTTCGTCACGAATGTGGGTGTTGTAGTACAAGGGAGATAATCCGTCTCCGTGGGAAAACCAATGTATCGAGAAGGATCAAAATTGCCTGGTTCGAGTCTGGATAATTGTGCCGATGTATTATTTTTTAGTGCTGCGTATTTTCATTTTTTCATTTTATTGAAAAAACCCCCAAAAAACTGCAACTCGGACAATCTGAACAATATAGTAAGTAATGCATGTTTGTTTTGGTTAACGATCTGTCTTCTATTTTGTATGCGAACAGTGAGCCCCATTAACCTGGATGCTAGTGTTCCAAGTTAAAATATTCAGATTAGAAAATCTAGGATATTACCCATATGAGCACATATAGACACATACTGATATTAATTGTCCTGATTAGCGCAGTGTATTTTGTTTTCATTGACTGTCCAGTTGTAACATCTAATTTTCATGCTTGGCCAACCCCGATCTCCGACATCCGGTTCATCTCAATCCTACATCCCATATCTCGGTCGGTATTGCGAGGAATCCATATTGGAACTGGATTTACTAGTTTCATCAGTTCACGTGACTAGCATCTGGTGGCAACTGTGGTCTTCATATAAATGTTGCTGGATATGAAATTGTATACCTAATTTCTAATAAATAAAAACTAATTTGCTCTGTGTCGGCCTTCATGGTGTACGAACATATCAACATGGCTATAATTAATGTTCGTGTGTGGCAAGCTGCCCAAACACCTCCGTAACAAGTGTGTACAAAACAAGTGTATCATCTGAACATACGTCCACCATACATTTAACATATACATCGGTAGATTTGGGTTGGGGAGGTTATTCTGATCAGTTAAGGAATTCAGATATCCGGACACTCGTTTATCCGGACAATATTTGCGAGAACGCAAGCAAGTGTCCTGGTTTAACGGAGGGCTCGGTCGGTTTGAGTTGTCCGGAGGAATCATGTAATACCACTACGCTGCCCGAGCTAACGGAATAAGCCGAGTGGATGTGAATGCGTTTCCGAGTCTCATTGTATGGCCTTGACACCTTGTTTTGCGCACGATTTATGACTTCGGGCAAGGGGTGGAGTTGAAGGGGGCCACAGTCGCTGAGCTGGTCAAGTTGGGGTAAGTCGCGAAGTCGGGTGCTCCTGGTATCGGTCTTTGTCTCATAGAATGTAAACAAACGTATTTCAAAATATATACTTGTATCTTGAGTCGTATAAAAATACAAATGGTTCAATGTTTTGACACAGTTTTGTGATGGATTGCCAGGGTAGATTCGCTGATGAGTTGTCAATGTCATACTACGAACGTGGTAAGAATAGAATTATATAGATCCACTACTCAAAAGAAGTTACAGAACACCCGATTCTTTCTTATGACTATTGTAAATATGTCATGTTATGACCCAAGAATTGGGTGTCATTTAACTTTTTTATCTGATATGATGTATACAATTTAACTTAGAACACTCGAGTAATTTCAAGCTTGCAATTTTGGAATCGATTAAGAAATTGCACACATATTTTCTTATCATCGATGTGCCAGGGACAATGATGATGTTTTCAAGGCCTCCACTATTTGTGACAAAACCCTGGTATCATGGCCTTGAACTTTTAACTGCATGCATACATGCAAAAACTGATAACATCGAAATGCATGCCCAAGCTATGTTTATGACGCATGCATTAGTGTTTTTTATGAGTCTGCATATCCAAAGAAATGCACAGATATAAATGTTAACTTATAATATTGATACTGAGCTAAGAGCCAGACGAAGAACCAGCAGTTTGAAAACACCATTAACCCACACCGACCCTAGCTGCTGCATGAGGGTCAACGGGATTACCCTTTATCCCGACTCACCCAGGCGTTAGTGGTAAGTGAGTCGTGTCCAGGGGTCAAGGGAGCAACCGAGACTTGCATAACCACCGCTGGGGTATATTTGATTGTTATTCCGAGACAAGCCGAATAGCGACTCATGCCCCTCTCGTGGTCATTTTTACGACTGGGTTCCGTCTAAGCGAAACCGGGCATAGCTAAAATTGTCAACTCGTTACGTTATGATTCATGTACACTTTCCCCATTCTCCAGATGCTATTGAGGTATTATACAGTATGATTGAACACATTTACCGGTATCTTAGGTATATTTTTAAATGCAAGACATGTATAAAATCAAAAAAATATTCCTGAAGGATTCTTTGACCGAAGTACTTGAAGTGCATTCTGATTGGTTTGTCGTATTTTTGAACATAACATTCAACGATAGGGGGACGAGTCTTCTTGCAAGTTACGGAAAGGGACGACTGTGACGAATTGGGTATATTTGTGTAGCTTGTCGAGTACAAGGACTACAAAAGAACGACACCTGCTCTTATGTGATAGCCGCGTGTTTACAATTCCTATGATAGTGAATCGTTTACCAACAATATATAGTTCAATATACCAACATTAAATACCAACATTAAAATTCTTTATCTATCTGTTTACACAAGAAGCAGCAGTTATTGTGTTACTTGAATAACCTCTTGTGTGAAATCAGCGTTAGCTCGAAGCGCCCATAAACAACAAAGTAACAGTTTGTTGACAATGCACTCTGCTGGTGGCGCGATGATGTATAACGTATAAAAAACCGGAATGGTTAACATGTGAATATAAACTGCCGGCCAATAGAAAGAATACACTTGAAAAGTGGATTTGACTAAAACATTACAAACGATCGCAAAGATTGCATCTCATCGAACAGATAGGGGTTCGTTTACATTAATTACTAATGTGGTCGAAACCGAAAAACAACACAATGTTCCTTCCAGAAATGTTCAATTATTTTATTTGTTTAATACTAATATCGATATTGTTTAACACATAACCTACAATGGCATCAGTACATAAACATCAACAGTGTATTCGGAACATATCGGGGCCCAGTAATACAAAGCGAACTCAGCGCCTGTTGTAAGTGTATTGTACAGCATAGTACAGTCGCAACGCAGAGATCGCTTTGTAGGCCTGGGCCCCGTTCCACAAAGCGATCGTTGGCTATTTCGTTACACAGTCTAACTCCCACGCTTCAACATAGACTTAAAGTCGTAGCGCCAAGATTGCTCTTTTGAATGGGGCCCTATTGTGTTCTTCTCATTCGCAATTCCTCTGGAAACATGACTTGCGTGTCCTCTTCCCAGATACGAGTACAACATGGCGAACACCGGCGTTGTTGTCGCCCTCGTCCTCGCGGCGGCGGCGTTCGGGGGAAACTGGCTGTGGTCAAGACAGGCCCGGAAAGAGCAGATTGAGAGACTGGTCAGCAGTGTCCGCGCTCCGGACCTCCTGAAGCAACACTCAAACGTCTTCAACAAGAAGGAGATCATCAAGGTGAGGTGACAGGCTCAGTTGGTTGAGAGTAAGGAAGAGCTGGGTTGGCCTAGTGCTCAAAGCGAAAGCGAAAACATTCGAGTTGTTCATTGTTCGAGACAAACGGGGTACCGATATTATACCATATTATAAATGACATATCATGACAAGGAGTAACGTGTAGTCGCTGAAAAAATCCTATTAACTTTTTTGGATAAATTTTATTTGAATAAACTGCCGGGCAAAATGAATGTTGGTTGAGTGGTCTGGTGGTAGAGCGTCCACCCGGAGAGCGGAAGGTCCGGGGTTCGATCCCCGGCCGCATCATACCAAAGTTGTTAAAAGATGGTACTTGTTGTTACCCTGTCTGGCGCTCAAGCTCTGCACTTGTCTGCGTTAATTTACATTAAAACTTTCCCGTCCCCCAGGTGACTCCCAACATCTACTGTGCTGTCGGATACGCCCTGGCCAACACCATCATGATAGAGGGAGATGATGGCGTCATCATTGTCGACGTCACGGAGAGCGTCTCCGCTGGCAAGGAGGTGTTTCAGGATCTCCGGGCCATTACCAAGAAGCCTGTTCGCGCCATCGTCTACACCCACAACCACATCGACCACACTTACGGCGCTAAGGTGAGATTATGTCTACGAATGGGTGAGTGAGTTGAGTTTGACCCCACTTATAAACTATACCCGGAGCGCTCTTTTGTCTTTCGTAGTAAGAGGTGAGTAAGTTGGTTGGTCAGGCTCGGTGATTTGGCTTATTGATTATCATCTTACCCCGATAAATAAATAAATAAATAAATAAATAAATAAATAAATAAATAAATAAATAAATAAATAAATAAATAAATAAATAAATAAATAAATAAATAAATAAATAAATAAATAAATAAATAAATAAATAAATAAATAAATAAATAAATACCGTTGTACCCCGATATGGAAAAAATAAAATAAAATAAAATAAAATAAATAAATAAATAAATACATAAATAAATAAATAATTAAATAAATAAATAATTAAATAAATAAATAAATAAATAAATAAATAAATAAATAAATATACATCGTTGCACAATACATTAATTCTGTAAGGTAAAATATCCAAATTACTTCTTCCAGTCGTTCATCGAGGACCCGGCGCACCCCCCTGACATCTGGGCCCACCAGCTTATTCTCAAGGAGTTCCAGAGATTGTTCCACAGTAATGAGATCATGCTGACTCGCGGGATGCGCCAGTTTGGTACCCTCACACCAGCTCAGATCAACTCAGGCATAGGATTCAAACTGGCCCTTGACAAAGACAACATGGACTTCGGGCTTGTCATGCCAAACAAGCTGTTCACAGGATCAGAGCGTGATATCAGCTATGCAGGTTTGTTGAAAGTTTCAGTTCTTGTGACGGATGAATTAACGTTAGCATGTCCGTAGCATATGAAAGGAATATTCATTTCTGATTAATGTTCAACTATGCTGAAGCATATTCCTTTTGATTTTGATTAAGGTTGTTACATGTGATTAATTACTAGTATATATCGGACGAAGGTGATATAGTATGTAGGGTTTAACGCTTCCTTGAACCTGAGTGATCCAGGTTTTGGGTTGGTGACTTATAATCTAGAGTAATACGAATCTGGAGTAGGAACGCACGGTCAGTGGGTTTTGGGGTGTCTCAGGACGCACAGCTAATTGCGACGCCTCAGATGCCAGGTCCACACGTTTTTCCTTCGGGTTACGAATATACCAGGCCAGCACTTTGACAGCAAGGTGTTAGACACATAGAATTGCAGTTTACTTTAACGAGGACATTCGTGAAAAGATGAATCACATTTCACACTGGAAATATTTGTGATGAGAAACGCAAGACATAAACCCAATTTGATACAGATGTCCCTTAAATTAACACTGAGTGGGAAAACAGAATGTCTTTAAAATATTAGACAAGTAGCGACTTCACTTGCCCGACGACAGGTTTACAAATTATTGATTCAACATAAGGGCAGTGTTGTTTGAAGCGTCGTACAATATAACAGTCACAAGTCAATGGTAGTTTTAACACGCCTCGTCATATGTTTTTACAAACTCTCTCAATTTGAGCAGATATACTAGTAATTAGCGTTATGTTTTTCACATCAAAGATAAAACTATTTGTGCCACAATTGCATTAGTTTAATCTTTTGAAAATAATGTAGAATTTAGAACTCATACACGTCACTGTCCATCGCATGCATTTGGCAAGCTGTATTGCCCATTGCACGCATTGGACAAACGGCGTGCCCAATGCACTGAAGTTGAATCTGAAGTTGTACAGATAGGGTGTAACATACACACTGTTTGTTATATTTCACCACTTCAGGCGTCTCAATGAAGCTGGTCCACATCCCCGGGGAGACCGCGGACCAGATAGGAGTATGGCTGCCGGACCAGAAGGTGTTCCTGTGCGCTGATGACGTCTACCGCGCCTTCCCCAACCTGTACGCCATCAGGGGGACGCCGTCTCGAAGTCTACTGGACTGGTCTTCCTCACTGGACAAGATTATTGACCTTGAACCTCACTACCTCGTCCCGAGTCACACACGTCCGCTAGAGGGCGCTGCTACCATCATGACACTGCTGACCAGTTATCGAGACGCCATCCAGTTTGTTCATGATCAGACAATCAGGTTCATGAACAAGGGTTTAATGCCAGACGAGATTGCTGCGAAAGTCCGTCTGCCCGAACAATTAGCCACCCACCCATACCTTCTTGAGTTTTACGGCACAGTGGAGTGGTCCGTTAAGGGTGTATTTAATACCTACCTTGGATGGTTCGACGGAGATCCGGTGCACCTTTCACCTCTGACCCCTGACGAATTGGCCAATCGCTATGTAGCCCTTGGCGGAGGAATCGACAATATGGTGAAGGTGGCGAAGAAGGCTCTGGACGAAGGGGATCACAGGTGGGGTCTAACTGTCGCGTCCCACGTCATCAGAGCAGATGATACGAACAAAAAAGCACGGGACATTGCATCGAAGTGTATGATGGAGATTGGTAATCAGCAGATCAGTTCAAACGGCCGGAACTATTTTCACACATTTGCCCTTGAGGTGATTGGTGCAACAGACGCTCGACCAGGACCTCTCACAATGGCTAGATTCATCCGCGGAATACCCCTTGTTACATTGTTTAAAGTACTCGGGGTCCGCTTTGTGGCAGAGAAATGCGGGCGGGTAAATGTGACAGTTCTCTTTGAGTTCCAGAACCCCAAATCTACAGTCTCCATGCAACTGAGGAACTCGGTCGTCATCATCAAAGACCGGCCTCCCAAGAAGTATAACGTCAGAGTTGTTGTTGATGACGTCATATGGCGGGAGTTATTGATAACTCATTTGGTAGAAAAGTCAGCCGTCTCCCTAATGGATGCAAAGGTTGAAGGAGATGAAGAAATAGTAAAAGCTCTGTTCGACTGCTTTGAGGGAAATTGAATGATATTTAATCACGACATCGTGTTACCATGGATACTCATTAATGATAAGTATATTGTTGACACCAAGGTCACTAGGCCAAACATGACATTATTTGATTTTGATTTTGTTTGTTTGTTGTTTAATGTCGCACTCAGCAATATTCAAGCTTTTTGACGGCGGTCTGTTAATAATCGAGTCTGGACCTGACAATCCAGTGATTGACATCATGAGCATCGGTCTACGTCATTGGGATACGATGACATGCATCAACCAAGTCAGCGAGCATGACCACCCGATCCCGTTAGTCGCCTCTTACGACAAGCATAGTCGCTTCTTACGGCAAACATGGGTTGCTGAAGACCTATTCTAACATCTAAATATTTTGTTCACGGTTCTTTTTTTATTTGTGAATGACGGAATGATGATTTAATATTTTTCTTAATATTTATGTGATCCTTGATAATAAGTTTTCAATGAAGTTCTACATAGCTTCAACTTCGTTGTATGTTGATGTATTTAAGCATGACTAATGAATGTGAAAGAGATATGGGATTTTTGTATCAAGATGTCATGTGAGTTCGTCAAGTTGACAGGACATATCTAAAAAGCATGTATTACATTCATTATGTTGTAATGAAAAAACATTGTATAAACTTCAACTTGTATATCGGTTCTAGAATTATTTCAGTTGCGAGTTTTAATCAAAGCACATGTATCACTGTCGATTTATTTTATCTTTGATTCTTATTTCTTCAAGTATTTTAATAAAATAACTGTAGGTTAATGCCATCTGAGTTGAGTTTCGCATCAACGTAATCTTGTTGTAAAGGCAGCCTATTGAATATCCTGAATAACTGACCTGACCAAAAAGTCATTGTTTCAAGCTTACAGTCAGAAGTGAACACCTGCCCCAGGTGATTTCAGTATCGTGATGGAAGTCCCACTGTGACAACTACTTTTATGGGCCGCCTCCGTGGTCTTGTGGTAGAGCGTCCGCCCGGAGAGCGGATGGTCCGGGGTTCGATCCCCGGTCGCGTCATACCAAAGGCGATTAAAGATGGTATTTGTTGTTACCCTGTCTGGCGCTCGGCATAAAGGGGCCAAAACAAGGAATGGTCTGCTCGGAGTCAGTATACTGTGTCTGAGTGGGGTATTCATTTTAAACTGCGGCATGGTATCTCAGTGTGCTAGCACTATAAATCGGCATCAGTCCGGACTTGTGCAAGCAGCCACGCAAACACGAGAATGCACGTCGCTATATAAGTGCAATAATCTTGGACGCGACGTTAAACCCAATTTCACCTCACCTCACCTCACCTACTTTGATGGAACCCTCTTATGGACCACATTTCCCATTACAAAGAATCACCACATCGGAAGTAGAAACTACCTTGAGCGTTGTGGGCAGTGCGTTCGCTCGTTAAGCTGAAAAGTCCTGTTCGATTTCGAACACTGATGCTGTTTGGGTTACTCGCCCTTGGCTCCGCCATTGTTTATTTGCAAGGCGATTGTTGAAAATACAGCTTTATGTGCATTCGGAATTGACAGATTTTATTTAGACTAGCATCACTGAGAGGAACACGAAAACTGCAAACTACACTGGTCCGGGCAACAAGTTTGGAAGTTGTGTTGAGCTTTCAAGACTCCATCTGAAACAAAATAATTTCGGTGAGAAGTAAGTGAGAAGTAGGAAGCAGAGAGGAGCTTTCAAGCTTTCTATCGTTCAAGTTTGAAAGATGAATTGTCACGTGTTACCCGTACCGACACTGTCATACATTAGACAGTGAGTGAGTGAGTGAGTATGGTTTTACGCCGCTTTTAGCAATATTCCAGCAATATCACGGCGGGGGACACCAGAAATGGGCTTCACACATTGTACCCATGTCGGGAATCGAACCCGGGTCTTCGGCGTGACGAGCGAACGCTTAAACCACCAGGCTACCCGACCGTCCCATACATTAGACAGGCATGAGGTAGGCTTCAGGCAGGCTTCAGCAATAGGTGTGTTATGTACAATCTTCGCCCAGGATAAATCTTGGAACATTCTCGTATTCTTGGACCGCCTCCGTGGTCTAGTGGATAGAGCGTCTGCCCGGAGAGAGGAAGATCGGTGGTTCGATCCCCTGACCATCTCATTACCTAAGAGGTTTTAAAAATGGTACGTAATTATTGCCAACCTTGACCTTGGTGTTCATGTTTGATTAACACTTAAGTACGTGCAAAATTTGTACGCCAAGGTTAGGTCTCTTTTTTTACTCACTGACAGAGAAGAATTAACTTTTACGTTTAATCTGTTGAACACATTTGCATGTGCACATGAATACCTAGGTACGCGCATCTTCTTTTGTTAGACAGGTGATCCAGATATATGAACTCCTGGGACAAACAATAATTTTAATAGAGCTTGTTTGTAAATGTTGTCACCTGCTTGGCGCTCGGAGTCAGTATACTGTGTTTGAGTGGGGTATCCATGTTAAAACTGCAGCATGGTTTCTCAGTGGGCTGGTACTATAAACCCGACATAAGTCCGGACTATAGTGCGTTACCCATCATTCTGGCACCTGCTTTTTCACAGTTAGTTCGATTTCATATTTAACACACACTCACGCGACGAAAGTTTGTTATTATGGAATAACAAAGTTTGACCTAAATAAAAGTACCTGTTTTGTAATATTTCAAGTCCGAATAAAAAAAATGACTTCACTGTTATCATTTAATTTTGTGACCGTCGACCAGACCCTGTCGGGGTAAGGGTGGGTAGGTGGGTAGCTAAGAATAGACGATTTAACGTCTAACAACAGTGACTTCTGGTGTGTTAAACATGCTTCCTGCATGCAAGACTCTAGGTCATTCTCCACATCTGTCGGTACAGGCAAGAAAACTTGTTTATGGAGACATCTTGTCAAAGGACGCCCATGATATTATTCGTAAGGGGTATTGTTGTTTTGTTAAACGCGAATCAAAAAGAAAACAATCCTGACATCTCTTTATTTTTTCACAATGGGAACATTTCATGCAACGAATATATATATATATATATCTGTAAGGATTTATTCCGAATTGTCTCCCCTTGATAAAAGTGTAAAAACAAGGGGTACTGTCCCAAAACCCACCCAGAGGAAAAGCTTGACTGTTTTGACAAGCGGGCATTGAGAGATGTCATACGTAGATTTAACAGTTAAAAAATAAACCTATTTCATCCAGAAAGCTTATGAAACCCCCCAAAGAAGACCTTGACATCAGCGTGTCTATGTATAATATATCGAGTTTCTCTTCAACAGTGTATAACAAATATAAATACCATATTCATGTACTAACCTGGTATAATGTGATACTTTGTTATTTTTGTATATGGGTTACTGGCCTCACGTTCATGAATATAAAGAATTGAAGTGAATACTGTTCAACAACAGGGGGCACAGAGTTGCGTCCCTACTCACGCCAGAAACCTATGATTGTGGGTTCGAATTCCGGTTCGCCCCGTTTGTTTCTAGGTTTGTCTGCACCATACCCGTTCTCGTGGTTTTCACCGAAGTGGTAAACGTCTGAGACCTGCATCACTTCGGGCTTTCCTCCCACATTAATCTGACACGCCGTGATAGAACTGGAGTACTGTTAAAAGCGGCGTTAAACCAAACCCACTCACTCACTGTTTAACAACAGTTATATAACCACCTGTGAACCGACTTCATACACCGGTATCAGTTGCTCTCTCATGATACCCCGTGCTCGTGAAGAGTATGTTTAATCTGAGGCTACAGACATCCACGGAGACCAGAGAATGGACTTTGAGCCGAAACAGTCGCCAGATGTGTAGTGATGGTATGCATTGAACCGTAACGCTCTACAGCTCCACCCACTGCAGCGGGCACAACGCACAACACACAAGGTAAAAAAAACCCTTTTCTTCCTTTGTCGCTTCTGGAGCTAATGCTGTCACGGCATATCGTTAGAAACATAGGTATGAGCGCGGACAATCGTTTGACCCAGATAGGTGTCGAGCGAGGATCGGGTTCGTGTGTCCCGTCGTTTATGTGATTGAGGAGGTCTGAAATATGAACGGTGGAGGTTCACTTCGACCTAGCTGTACACCTTGCCCAGGTGTCTGTGTGACGAGTCAATACGCCCATCTCTGGGGCACTCGTCGCAGTAGTGGGGCGCTGGGGTAGCCTACCGGGTAAAGCGTTCGCTCGTCACGCCGAAGAGCCGGGTTCGATTCCCCACATGGGCACATTGTGTGAAGCTCATTTCTGGTGTCCCCCGTCGTGATATTGCTGGATTATTGCTAAAAGCGGTGTGTCGCAGTAGTAGCAGATTATAATGAAAGGTAGTATTTAGTTGGAGCGCGAATACAGCTTTTCAGAAGCTTAATATAAATCAAGCTAGATGAATGCAAATAATTTTGAAAGCGTTTGGTAGGGATATCTTTTTTGTTGAAAACATATCACAAAATAATCCAGTTATGTTTATTTTTTGGTTTACTTTGTTATCGTATTTAAAAATGCGGATTACATGTACGCGAAACCCGAGCAAATTTATTACACGATGTGTATCTGTGTAGACCGATGCACTCTCCATAGAATGGGAACTATTAAAGTAGAAGTGACGAAATATAGCTGAATCAGTCCTGTTTTGTTAGTGTGTTGTTAAATGGCGCACTAAGCAATATTCCAGTTATATAACAGCTTCATGTACATAATCGAGTATGGACCAGACAAACCTGTGATTGATATTAAATGTAATCACCAACGGCGTCGGTATGCGATGAAACGCGATCAATCATAGTGATGGGAGGGGAATGGGGCTTAACGTCGGACGTGTGTGTTTGGCTGTTTGTACAAGTCCGGACTAATGCTGATTTATATTGCTAGCCCACTGATATACCATGCCGCAGTTTAACATGAATACCCAACTTAGACACAGTATACTGACTCTGAGCCGACCAGTGCTTGTATTCACCCCTTATTGCCGAGCGCCTGGCAGGGAAGTACCATCTTTCAACGTCTTTTGGTATGACGCGGCCGGGGATCGAACCCCCGACCTTCCGCTCTCCGGGCGGACGCTCTCCCACCAGGCCACGGAGGCGGTCCACAATCAACCAAGTCACCGAATCTGACGTGCTGATCAATTAAGTCTTACTTTAAAGGTTGCTGGTCAAGCACAGGTTGCTGGGGACCCATATTCTAGGCCCTAGGAAATATATTAAATTAATTTGAACCCTTCAAATGTTATTTTATGGGATCTTTACAATGAGAAAAAAATATTTCAAATTCCCCGATTTCCTTTTGACATATGTTTAAAATGTGACAAAATATAATTTTTCAACTATGCTGTTTTAAGTCTGCGGATCCGTACATCCAAATACTGAGAAATAAACGTGCGTATGGGACAGTCGCAACGCAGAGATCGCTTTGTAGGCCTGGGCCCAGTTCCTCAAAGCGATCGTTGGCTATTTAGTTAGACAGTCTAACTCCCATGCTTCAACATAGACTTAAGGTCGTAGCGCCAAGATTGCTCTTTTGAATGGGGCCCTATTGTGTTCTCATTCGCAATTCCTCTGGAAACATGACTTGCGTGTCTTCTTCCCAGATACGAGTACAACATGGCGAACACCGGCGTTGTTGTAGCCCTCGTCCTCGCGGCGGCGGCGTTCGGGGGAAACTGGCTGTGGTCAAGACAGGCTCGGAAGGAGCAGATTGAGAGACTGGTCAGCAGTGTCCGCGCTCCGGACCTCCTGAAGCAACACTCGAACGTCTTCAACAAGAAGGAGATCATCCAGGTGAGGTGACAGGCTCAGTTGGTTGAGGACCCGTGAAGATTCCGGAGTAGAATAGGTCTTTAGCAACCCATGCTTGCCGTAAAAGGTGACTATGCTTGTCGTAAAGGGTGACTAACGGGATCGGGTGGTCAGGCTCGCCGACTTGGTTGATGCATGTCATCGATCCCAATTGCGTTGAGCGATGCTAATGATATTAATCACTAAATTGTCTAGTCCAGACTCGATTATTTACAGACCGCCGTCATATAGCTGGAATATTGCTGAGTGCGGCGCTAAACAACAAACCAACCAACAGTTGGTTGAGAGTAAGGAGGAGGTGGGGTGGCCTTGTGGTCAAAGGGACCAGGAGGGGGCAGAGGGTGATGGCCAGGCGTAGAGCCGGCCCCAGAGGTTCCCTCATGAAGTCATGAAGGTCCCCTGCCTCACTACCCTTGGACCGGCCAGATCCAGCAGCCCCAGGAACGACAATGGAACTTTTGGAACCCTGTCCTCTCGAGCCATGTCCTGCGGCAAGGTGTGGTAGAAGCCGTGCTGCGGCCTACGAAGAAGCCAGTTCCTCACCAAAACCTTACGCTGGAATCGACCGCGGCGTCGGTTCTCCTCTACCCTTCGCTTACGTCTGCGGACAACCCAGATGGTGGCCGCAACCACCCCAACCCTACAATCTGTACTGGAAATCAACAGTCAGATGATGGTGTGCCAAGTTGCTGCGATAAGCACAGTGTTGTTAAGCTTCAATTACCAATAAAACACGCCAAAATTCGGTCCTATTCTTGTTGTGGTTCAGTCGTGTTGACATCGTGATAAACTCGTAGTGATCGTGTCGAGCTCGTAGTATTCTCGTAACGGACGCGTACTTTACACGTACGAAGCTAGTCTAAATCGTGCCAACATCGGTATGATTTCGTAGTGACATCGCACTGGCATCCTACTAAACTCGTGTTACATTCGTAGTAAGCTCGTGATGTGCTCGTTCTAGTGTCATGTGTACATTCACATACACGATTCTATACATCGTGATATATCGCGGTCAACATCGCGAAAGTGGGAGAGTCGCGTCATTCTGAATCCCTACGGGGTCGGGACGTGACGAGCGATAAAAATGTTTGAGTGCATTTGAAATTCGTTACTTTACATGTTTTCAACTTTAGATGGTTATACGGTTCTCCTATATGTTAAAGGTAACGGGCAACGTCTACTCTGCAGTCGGCTTCGCCCTCGCCAACTCCATCATGATCGTCGGCGACGATGGCATTATCATTGTCGACGTCACGGAGAGTGTGGTTGCGGGGACGGAGGTTCTCGCCGCCTTCAGGAACATCACCAGCAAGCCTGTCAAAGCCATCATCTACACCCACAACCACGCGGACCACACGTACGGATCAAGGGTATGACAATGAAACCAATCTTTGTACATAACAATGCTTGTTAAAAGAACTTCCTTGTTTTACAAATTTCCTCCTAAAATTGTCCACAACCCTTATAATTTTAAACTCATAAGAAGCGACTTTTTACACTCAATTTTAGTTTTTGTACCGAAGCTGCAGAGGTTGTGGCCAAAGGAGGTCACGTGGTACATTTGAATCAAGTTAACTAACCCATTACAGAAGTAAAAGACCCCCCCCCCCCCCCCCTCCCATACTACTCATTCTGTTTTTAAGATGAGGTGAAATGTGGTTTAACGCCGTGTCCAAGATTATTGCACTTATATAGCGACGTCCCTGCACGTGTATACATATGTATATGTGTATATGTATGTTTATGTGCGTATGTGCGTGCGTGCGTGCGTGCGTGCCTGTGTGGCTGCTTGTACTAGTCCGTAATGATGCCGATTTATAGTGCTAGCCCACTGAGATACCATGCCACAGTTTAACATGAATACCCCACTCAGACACAGTATACTGGCTCCGGGCCGACCAGTCCTTGTTTTGGCCCCTTTACTCCAAACGCCACACATGGAAACCCTAAGTACCCTCTTTTAACAACTTTGGTATGACGCGACCGGGGATCGAACCCCGGACTTTCCGCTCTCCGGGCGGACGCTCTGCCACTAGACAACGAAGGCGGTCTGTTTTTAAGAGCGTATGAGAAACATGAACGTTTGTTTATAACTGACCTAACTCCCTACCCACCTCTCCTTATTGGACAATAGCTGATGGATAGTACAAAACATGTGACAAACCGTACTCTGACAATGTCTTCTTATCCCCGTAGCCCGTGAAAATCCGTTTTTTTCGAATTCATCTCAGCAACCTGTCGTAAAAGGCGACTAATGTGATCGGGTGGTCCAGGTCGGTGACTTGGTTGATGCATATCATCGTATCCCAGTTGTGAAGATCGATGCTCATGATGTCGATGACTGTATTGTGTACGATGTGACAAGTTTAGAACTGGAAGCTGACCAGTACAAATTATGGGCATTGGCTTCATAATAGTGAGTGAGTGTGTTGGGTTTAACGCCGCTTTTAACAGTATTCCCGATACATCGCGGCGTGTCAGCTTAATGTGGGAGGAAAGCCCGAAGTGATGCAGGTCTCAGACGTTTACCACTTCGGTGAAACCCACGAGCACGGGTATGGTGCTTACAAACCTAGAACATAATCGGGTCGAACCGGGATTCGAACCCACAATCATACGTTTCTGGCGTTCCCAAGGGACGTAACTCTGCACAGCGAATCGCGGGGCCTTAGACGACTGGGCCACCCGTGCCCCCTCTTCATAATAAGAGCACCGATGTTGAACAGGTTTCACTCACTCTCCTCATTCAAACAGGCCAAATTATTATTGTATTGGAATTAGGCATGGTCAAAAGCAGTGGATATTGTTTCAACAAAATCATTCTTTGTTGCAATGACAGGCGTTTATTGAGAAGGATAAGCCGATGCCGGAGATCTGGGCACATCGTAGCATCATGGCCGAGTTCCAAACCTTCTTCTACTCCGCTCCGATAGGTTTTCAACGAGCCATGAGGCAGTTTGGGGTCCTCATCCCCAGCCACATCAACTCCGGTATCGGGATGAAGTTGAGAGTGGCAGAGGACAGACAACAATTGGGTCTCATCTTCCCTACCAAGATGTTCGTGGGGATAGAGAGAGACATCACTGTGGCAGGTTAGTGGAGAGAGACATTACTGTGGCAGGTTAGTGGAGAGAGACACTACTGTGGCAGGTTAGTGGAGAGAGACATTACTGTGGCAGGTTAGTGGAGAGAGACACTACTGTGGCAGGTTAGTGGAGAGAGACACTACTGTGGCAGGTTAGTGGAGAGAGACATTACTGTGGCAGGTTAGTGGAGAGAGACATTACTGTGGCAGGTTAGTGGAGAGAGACATTACTATGGCAGGTTAGTGGAGAGAGACATTACTATGGCAGGTTAGTGGAGAGAGACATGAACATGGGAGGTTAGTGGAGAGAGACATTACTGTGGCAGGTTAGTGGAGAGAGACATTACTGTGGCAGGTTAGTGGAGAGAGAAATTACTATGGCAGGTTAGTGGAGAGAGACATTATCATGGCAGGTTAGTGGAGAGAGACATGAACATGGCAGGTTAGTGGAGAGAGACATTACTGTGGCAGGTTAGTGGAGAGAGACATTACTGTGGCAGGTTAGTGGAGAGAGACATTACTGTGGCAGGTTAGTGGAGAGAGACATTACTGTGGCAGGTTAGTGGAGAGAGACATTATCATGGCAGGTTAGTGGAGAGAGACATTAACATGGCAGGTTAGTGGAGAGGGACATTACTGTGGCAGGTTAGTGGAGAGAGACATTACTGTGGCAGGTTAGTGGAGAGAGACATCACTGTGGCAGGTTAGTGGAGAGAGACATTAACATGGCAGGTTAGTGGAGAGGGACATTACTGTGGCAGGTTAGTGGAGAGAGACATTACTGTGGCAGGTTAGTGGAGAGAGACATTACCATGGCAGGTTAGTGGAGAGAGACATTAACATGGCAGGTTAGTGGAGAGGGACATTACTGTGGCAGGTTAGTAGAGAGATACATTACCATGGCAGGTTAGTGGAGAGAGACATCACTGTGGCAGGTTAGTTGAGAGAGACATTACTGTGGCAGGTTAGTGGAGAGAGACATTACCATGGCAGGTTAGTGGAGAGAGACATTACTATGGCAGGTTAGTTGAGAGAGACATCACTGTGGCAGGTTAGTGGAGAGAGAAATTACTGTGGCAGGTTAGTGGAGAGAGACATCATTGTGGCAGGTAAGTGGAGAGAGACATCACTGTGGCAGGTTAGTGGAGAGAGATATTACCATGGCAGGTTAGTGGAGAGGGACATTACTGTGGCAGGTTAGTGAAGAGAGACATTACTGTGGCAGGTTAGTGGAGAGAAACATTACCATGGCAGGTTAGTGGAAAGAGACATTACAGTGGCAGGTTAGTGAAAGAGACATTACTGTGGCAGGTTAGTGGAGAGAAACATTACCATGGCAGGTTAGTGGAAAGAGACATGAACATGGCAGGTTAGTGGAGAGAGACATCACTGTGCGAGGTTAGTGGAGAGAGACATTGCTGTGGCACGTTAATGGAGAGAGACATCACTGTGGCAGGTTAGTGGAGAGAGACATTACTGTGGCAGGTTAGTAGAGAAATGGTTAATTCGCAACAGCTGGGTTTTCTATGATTAGACCGGACATCACTGACAGGTAAATGGAAAACCAGACGCTCGCCCACTCGCCCGATAAATCTACGGTATTCTTTGGGCGAATAGCCTTCAATACATTGTAATATTTGGGCGAGGGTTGAAAAATGAGTTTTTTCTTCATGCTTTCTTATTTGGTAGGCGTGAAGATGAAGCTGGTCCACATTCCCGGGGAGACTGCAGACCAGATTGGAGTATGGCTGCCGGACCAGAAGGTGTTCCTGTGCGCTGATGACGTCTACCGCGCCTTCCCCAACCTGTACGCCATCAGAGGGACGCCGTCTCGCAGCCTACTCGACTGGACATCCTCACTGGACAAGATCATAGACCTTGAACCTCACTACCTCGTCCCGAGTCACACACGACCGCTAGAGGGCGCTCCTACCATCATGACACTGCTGACCACTTATCGAGACGCCATCCAGTTTGTTCATGATCAGACTGTCAGGTTCATGAACAAAGGCTTACTGCCAGATGAGATTGCTGCAAAAGTCCGTCTTCCAGAACACCTAGCAACACATCCTTATCTCATAGAACTGTATGGCACCGTTGAGTGGTCCGTTAAAGGCGTCTTTAATACATACATCGGTTGGTTCAGCGGTGATCCGGTTGACCTTTCACCTTTGACCCCGGACGAATTTGCCAATAGGTATATAGAGCTGGGTGGCGGTGTTGATAGATGTGTCACCACAGCACAAGAAGCACTTGACAAAGGAGATTACAGATGGGCCTTGACCTTGGCATCCCACGTAATTAGAGTAGACCAAAAGAACACAAATGCTCGTCAAATTGCCTCCCTTTGTATGGTGGCGCTGGGAAATCAGCAAATCAGCGCCAACGGCCGGAACTACTTCTTCACGTCGGCACTGGAAGTTCTTGGAGAACTAAATACCAAAGGAAATGAAGGAAACCGTAGACATGGCTTCATAAGGGCCGCTCCCATGGCAACGTTGTTCAGTATGATGCGGGTTCGGTTTATGCCGGAAACATGTCCAAATACGAACACAACTGTTTTGTTTGAGTTTACTGACTCTAATACCTTTATTTCCTTAACAGTACGAAACTCGATCGCTGTTATCCGCGACAGACCATTAACATCTTATCAAATCAAGGTCAAGACGACAGAGGCAGTGTGGCGCGAAATAACGATCAGCAAGATGGCCGCCTTGACGTCATATGCAAGTGGGGAGATTGAGATCAATGGTGGAATCATCCACTTCAGGAATGTCATGTCCTGCTTCGAAAAAGATTAGGAAAGCCATTTTTGAATGATGGCAAACATGAGCAACCTTATTCAACATGGCCTTCATCAACACCTGGTGTTGAGCAGGTGTTCCTGGTTCACATGTGTCCGTGATGTCATTGCTTCAATGACGTTAAACTGTGCAACATATTCCAAAGAAAACGATTTATGAATGTTGAAAATGTGCTGTATGTGTGTTCAGATGTGAATTAAAAGGGAAATATTACATTCAAAACGTTTCACTTTGAAGTATTCGATCACTTTTTGTTTGGCCTTTGAGCTTAAGCATGTGATGATTTGAATAGAAAAGACCAGGATTAAAACTCAAACTCTGTGATAAAGTCTTAAAAATTACTTCACCATTTTCTTTACATGCCATGAAGGCTTAACCGCTTGCATTACTCGCCCCTTTTCGGCTTTCTCCTTAATACCATGAGTGCTTGGATATGTCAAAATTCGTGACCACCTGTCCCTTTTAGAAAGAAGTCATCATTAAGTGAAAGTCATCTCCAAGGGAAGCAAATGATTTCAAATGAAAGATTGAGTGAGGCGACCGACTTGGGCTGAGCGAGGTTAATTAGACTTGCCAGCCATTGTCACATTTATATCTTTCGGAATTTACTCGATGCACAATAGTTAAGAAGAAGTTCAACTTATAATACTAGCTTATTTTGGGACTTCTCCTCCCAAGTCTCAGTTTTGGCTTGTTACTTTTGGGCGAACTCGTCGTTGAAGTAAATCTGAATAAAACCACTGCTGTAGTTTTTAGAAAAGGTGGTGTTGTGCAAAACATAAAAAGTGGTTTCGTGGTTCGTCTGCCTTGAGTGTAGTCACTTACTGTAAATATTTAGGTCTTATGTTCTCCCCTAGATTGGCATGGTCTATGGCATGCAAGCAATTAGCTGTTCGGGCGTCGAAAGCCATTATGCCTCTTTATTATTTATTCAGGAAAAATGGCTGTGATTTCACAGCATGTACCTTTTTTGAAAGCAAAATTATGCCTATACTTTTGTAAGGTTCTGAAATATGGGGTGCTAAGTATTACGCTGCAATTGAAAAAGTTCACACTTCATATTTCAAATGTTTTCCAAGTTTGCCTCAAACAAGACAGGCCTTGGTGAAACAGGCCGTAGTAATATTTTCTAGCCAGCCAATTAAGGGTAATTAAGTATTGGATTAAATTACTTAGAATTATGCCTGATAGATACCCATATCCGTGTTACAAAATGTTAAAGGTACTTGATGATAATGGTAAAAATAATTCGGTTTCAGATGTGAGAAATCTATTATTTGTTAGTGGCTTTTCATATGTATAAGGGCGGTCGGGTAGCCTGGTGGTTAAAGCGTTCTCTCTGTCACGACGAAGACCCGGGTTCGATTCCCGATATGGGTACAATGTGTGAAGCCCATTTCTGGTGTCTCCCGCCGTGATATTGCTGGAATATTGCTAAAAGCGGCGTATGCCATTGTGAAGTTCGTCGCCATGGAATGGCAAAATTTAAAGGATGTTGGTTCAACTGTAACATATGCATATATGTCTTCGTAGTGAGAGGCGTGGTGCAGTTGTTTTAACAAAACGTCGTCATAATCACTGTGCAATAAACGCCTACACAAATGATGTTGATAAGGAGGTATCCCCTTTGGGAGGCCAAGAAGTCGTAGTAGTGTTAATACGCCAATAATACGGTCCAGAACTTGATCGAATGGCCTTAATCTTAGAGATGCAGTTATGAGATACAATCTCTCTTGCTGCAAAATTGGGCCCCATCATGCTATGTGGTTCAATTTAAAGGTCAATACTAGGGTATGTGACTGCATCAGGCAAGTATGTGACAACCTGATAATATGTAGCCTGAAAGATATACGAGGGGTGTTCATTAAAGATTTCCCCTGGCCCACTTCCGATGGACCCAGTGGAATGAAACTTGGCATAGGTATAAGTCTTTCTCCACATATGAACCACCAAGAGTTACACACTTCTCCCAACGTTTTATGCAACTATGGAGACCTCGCTTGTAAAAGCCCTCAATTTGCGTCTCAAACCAGGACTTGACTTCAGAAATCAGTGTTTCATCATCTGTGAAACGTTTTCCCTTCAAAAATGACTTCATGGTTGGAAAGAGGTGGAAGTCAGATGGTGCAAGGTCAGGAGAGTAAGGAGGATGTGGAAAGATTTCATAGCCACAGGACCGCGCTTCTGTCTGGGCAACATGAGAGTTGTGTACTGGAGCATTGTCTTGCAGGAGACGGACACCCTTGGTCAGCATGCCACGCCTCTTAAGCTTGATAGCGTCCCGCAATTTCCGCAGCAGTGAAGCATAATAAGCTCCTGTAATTGTGGTACCCTTTGCCAAGAAATCCATCATCACTACTCCGTGCTGGTCCCAAAACACCGTGAGCATGACCTTGCCTGCAGAGGGTTGGACACTTGCCTTCTTTTGGGGTCGTGACTCCACATGCTTCCATTGCATCGACTGAACTTTAGTCTCAGGATCATAGTGATAGACCCATGTTTCATTCTGTGTGATAAGTCTGTCAAAAAAGTTGGCCTGGTTTTTTTTGCACATGTCCAAAAGATCCTTTGAGCAATTGAATCGTTCCTGCTTTTGGAAAGGTGTGAGCAACCTGGGAATCCATCGTGCAGACACCTTATGCATGTTCAAATTGTCATGGGTGATTTTTGCCACAGACCCTACACTGATCTTGACATCTTGTGCTAACTGGCGAACAGTTATACGTCGGTCTGCCAAAATGGCGGTCTCCACTTGATGGATAGTGTCCTCATCAATGGCTGAATGGGGGCGACCAGGAATGGCAGCTGTTTCCATAGATGTCCGACCACACTTGAACTGGCGATGCCAGTGTTTAACAACGTCATATGATGGGGCATCTTCCCCATAAGTTGCTTTCATTTCATCGAAAGTTTCTTTTGGTGTGCGACCTTTCAAATATAAAAACCTAATCACTGCTCGGTATTCTACCGGCTCCATTGTCACACCCTCCTCGATCATAACACCTGTAAAAGTGATAAGATGAATAGTTTGGTGCTGCAAATTCAGAACTAACCCAATGATACATGTATCATTACACATGTGAAATGTCAACCAAATATGATAACTCTAAGTAGTTTAGGGGAAATCTTAAAGGAACACCCCTCGTAGCAATGAACCTTGAAATATAATAATTGTATCGCTTTTAAATCGTTTTAACATTTCATTTTCCGTTTCTTTGTCTAGGGTTTTATTGGAAGAGCATAATCGTTTTCCTAAACTTTGTGTTTGCTTGATGTCTTAATCCGATTTCATTAAGCAGCGGATGCTGTCATTTCATCATTACATCGCATACCATATCATCACCACCATTACCACCTGAATCGAGTAAATGAGTTTGGTTTTACGCCGTTCCTAGCAATATCACAAAGGGGGACACATTCTACCTGTATTTGGGGGCACGGGTGGCCCAGTCGTCTAAGGCGCCGCGATTCTCTGTGCAGAGTTGCATCCCTTGGGCACTCCAGAAACCTATGATTGAGGGTTCGAATCCCGCTTCGCCCCTATTATGTTTCTAGGTTTGTCAGCACCATACCCGTGCTCGTGGGTTTCACGGAAGTAGTAAACGTCTGACACCTGCATCACTTCGGGCTTTCCTCCCACGTTAAGCTGACACGCCGTGATATAACTGGAATACTGTTAAAAACTCATACCCTCACTCACTCTACCTGTATTGGAAATAGAACTGGGCCTTCGGCATGACTAGCTAACACATAGCCACGAGGCTCCCCACTGTCCCTACATCAATATATAGGACACAAGAATGACAAAATATGTCAACTAACTGATACACCAATTGGGATGCCTTGGCACAGATCTTAATATACTTTAGCACGAACACGTAAACAGTGTTTGCGAAAGTTTAGAATGAGCTCCATTGCTATTTACTCTGTAGGACAATCTATGCAAATGCCGCCGAGCAATAATGGATAATATTTAATTACCTTTGAAAAGGCTTTGTATGAGAAAGACATGCTCCACCACAAATAGCAGTGATACTAAAACGTGACACAAAAAACATTATAACAATACCAATAGAAATGATTTATTGTACACACAACATACGTCTGGGATACAGTGATGGGATGTTCACGTGAATGAAAGATATTCCTTGAAAAATGACATAATCAATGCAGCATAACACATTCCCCAATACTGTATAAGTACATTGTGCAGTAATAAATGAGATAAAAAACAACAAAGTACTCCCATGTAGGCAGGTGAAGAGATATTTAAATGTATGACCTCCTCTTTGTTTGAGTCCAATTTCTACTTCTCACAAGTGTATCTAAAAAGGGATTATGAAATTAGCGGAATATTCTTTTACCACAGTCATATTTTCTAAAATGTAATTTTGCAAATATGATGGCTGAAACTTAGCATGTAAACACATCACACACACACACACACACACACACACACACACACACACACACACACACACACATTTTCTTTTTACAAAGGACGAGTTATAAAAGGGCCTATTTGGGTACACTGGACATGTTTTAAAGTTTGATTGGAAATTATGGGAAATGTTCAAAGTGGTTGATTGAAAGCCTTTGTCCCTTCTAACACTTTGACATGAAGAAGTACAAAGGTATCCTGACAGAAATGAGTGACAAGGTTGACTATTATTTTCAAGGGACCGCGACCCAATTTCCCGGGCACCTGGTGTCATCACTGTTTTCAGTGGTCCATTCATAGCATTTTCACCGCTATTTTGCCTTTTACGCCCAATGGAATCTGTTTAGTTGGATTTGAAAACTGTTTTTTTCTGGCGTTGACGTTTATATTCCATATATTTGTGCTGCCGATATCTACATCACGTAGGAAAATCAGCTAAGGTCAAAGACTCATGCTTGGATATCAGAAAAAAAATCTCCCGTGAAACCAACTTTTCAACACATTCCATCCTTACCTTTGCATTAAATGTTGTCATAAGTTCACAATCTTTAACATTTGTATACGATCTCTACAAGTGTACATTTTAAAAATTATGGAGATCCTTTGGGCCAAAATTGGCCCTTATTATCTCTTTCTTATAGATGAGACTTTCTTATCATAACCATTCGTCAGCTTATTCTTCTGGTTAGCATGCCCGCCATGTACATTTAGGGCACATGCATGCATATATCTACAGCTGATAATAACTGCAAGAGTTCCTTTCACAGTTTGGAGTCGAACTCCATGGAACGTTTTATCGTCTTATGAATCAGGCTCTACTTTTGATGGGACGATCTCTAAAATCAACTGACACCATTCCGTTATTTTATCTGAAATATATGAAAAGAAAAACATGTTAATACATATACTTTTCACAAGATGTTAAAGAACACCTATTCTTCATATTGTTTTAGAAAGCGGACATGGCAAGAAGGGGGACACCAGAAAGAGGCGTCGCTGCTATATGGGTATATTACTATATATGGGTACATTACGATATATGGGTATATTACTATATATTGTATATTACGATATATGGGTATATTACGATATATGGGTATATTACTATATATTCTATATTACGATATATGGGTATATGGCTATATATGGGTATATTGCTATATATGGGTATATTACTGAAGTTAATCTATCATGGCATAAACATGACTTACTAAAACCTGGAAGCTTTACGATGAAACATAAAAGTGGGATGTAGAAGATGAGACTAGTCTATATCAGCACCTGACTTACCAAAACCAGGAACCTTAACTTGAAATATACTAGTGTGATGTAGAAGATGTGAGTAGTATACATCAACACCTGACTTACCAAAACCTGGAACCTTTAAGTTGAAATGTACGAGAGGGAAGTAGAAGATGAGACCCCCTATGACGAAGAGGAAGGCATACAGGAACTCGATCTGGGGGTCCTCCACGATGGGGGCGATGATCAGGTACAACGAAACCAGCAGCATGATGATCGGGATTGGGATTGGAACCTGAAATATAGAACACATAGCTCGTTCCTAAACACCTGATGGGCCAACTATCTTTTTATTTCCAACTTGTACATACTTCCATAGGTTTACATAATTCCTGGCCATAGAAGCATCAACATGTAAAACGTTCAACCAAGGTTTACATCGAGTCTCATGTAGCTTGGAAGGTAAATTAGTCATATTGGAGATTTTTTCAGAAGAAAATGTGTGAAAACAATTTAGTTGGCTGGAATATTTTCTTGCCATTGCATAACCAAGTATTTTCCAGACATACATATTGGGAGTGATATAGCGCCCAAAGAGAACCACGTTGGGACAACAGAAAAAATGTGTTGGTTTATAATATACAGCAAATAAATAAAAGCAACAAAGTCCCTTCTATGTTAAAAAAAAACATCTCCCAAAAACAGAGTCGATTGTACGATTCCGACTATATCAGGAGCATGATCTCGTTATTCCGGTTCTCGTTAATCCGGAAATGATTCTCTGATAAGGACATTTCAATTATTAATCCAGATTAGTTCAGAGTGTAGGGTACCGTCCCGATTATCGGTGTTTCAATGTAGATATGTCCTTTCTTTACGTTAAACAAGCATAGCAATGGCTTAATAGGACGACTACTTTCAATCCTGATGTGGTCTCTCGATATGGCATTTTCCTCAAGTCTCCATGATGTTTGAGTGAAACGAGTTTTTTTAACCGAACCGGGTTACCTTATATGGCCGTTCCGCATCCTTCATCCTGAACCTGAGGACGATGAGGGCGAGGAAGGTCATGCCGTAGAACATCCAGGCGGTGAAGCTGAAGAAGTCGATGAGGCCGCTGATGTCTCCGGGAATAATCATGAGGAGGGCGATGAAGATCTATGTAAAATATATTGGTATTAATGATTACCCCCGTATATATGAATATGGCCAGTTAGACGTCATTTAAGAATCTACTTTAATATTTTTTTGCGGTTATAGAAGTACATCTACGTTGATCTGTAAATTTGAGTGACGCAAAGTGCGTTCATCTTTTTTACGTTAATAACTTCATTAACAAAAGAAATATTGTCCTTAATTATTGATAATTAATGTCAACATTGATAACTTCATTAACTGTTTTTTTAACCCAAGACATACGAGTGGTTCAGCGCAATAATTCAACTTTAGTCCGAAAGAAAAATATATTGCCAATTATATGCCATGAAGTTTTACTGTCATGGCATACTCATGACGTACCAAAACCTAGAAGCTTAACGTTGAAACATAAAAGTGGGGTGTACAAGACGAGAGCCTTTTGGTTGAAATGTACGAGTGGGTTGTAGAAGATTATACTTGTCTATATCAACACCTGACAAGTTGAAATGTACCAATTGATATAGAAGAAGAGACTAGTATACTGGAACCTTCAAGAAGAAATGTACAAGCTGGTTGTAGAAGATGAGACTAGCATACATCAACACCTGACTTACCAAAGCCTGGAACCTTTAAGATGAAAGGTACGAGTGGGATGTAGAAGATGAGACTAGTATACATGAGGAGGGCTTGCATTTGCTATATTTCGATATACAGCAGGTATTTCTTGCATACTTCATCAAAATGGGTGCGAAACAACCACAGGCTTCAAATCTACCCATGAACAACAGTATCGCCACTGTTATCATACAGTTGAACAATGCTGTCTAAAATTCTCGATTATTTCGAACAGACTGTACTCTAATTCCTTTGTCATAAATTCATTTCTGACGTCTCAAACCTATTTTGTATTTGCGAATGTCAAACACATATGCCCTGATACGTCAAACTAAGAAATATCCGTGTATTGCCAGTGTCAAAATACATAGAATGGTTATGACGTGTGACTGGAACCATGTATTGTCGTATCTATATCACTTACATGGGCATGTTATCCAATTGATTTTACAACAATAATTCATTGTATGTATTACTATATTTTCATTTTTTAATAAACACTGTATTATTGTATTAACAGTCATATACTGAAACCTACTGTTAAAAAACAGTTACTTCAGTAGATGACGTACGATATCGTTCTTTCACGGTTGTGTGTGACGTCGAGAATCAGATTTGTCCATCACTTGAATAAGTCGAACCTTTTCCAAACTTCCTTCTAGTTCGACACAACGGCATTCAACTGTACCCTGTAATCATGGTAACAGTATCACGAGCAACTACTCAGCTATAGCATCGTCTACAATAGATGGTGACAGTGATGAACATACCAGGAACGACAATGCCATGACCTAACATAACTCACTGTGAACAACATGGACGGCATGGGAGTCAGCTGCTTCACTTGGATGTAGGACAATATCTCAGGCAGGTTGTTGTCTCTTGCAGCAGCATATACAACTCTGAAAATATTGACACGTGGGACAGTGATGAGGTATCAAACATACATATCAGCAGAATCAATAATACGTGATGGCCAAGAATAGCCAGGGCCTCATGGCCATCCCCGTGAGTGAGTATGGTTTTACGCCGCTTTTAGAAATATTCCATCAATAACATGGCGGGGGACACCAGAAATGGGCTTCACACATTGTACCCATGGGGGTAACCGAAGCTAGGTGTTCGGCGTGACGAGCGAACGCTTTAACCACTAGGCTACCCGACCGCCCCGTCATCGAAATCCTAGAAGTGTGGAGTAATGATAATTGTACACACACACACACACACACACACACACACACACACACACACACACACACACACACACACACACACACACACACACACACACACACACACACACACACACACACACACACACACACACATATATATATATTTGTAATCCCTTAAACCATGACGTCATAGCATTCCATAGTGACGTCATGTCTGTCTCATAACTGTAATACGTAACACCTAGAATGATAGAACTACAGACAATTACAGTTATTGAGTATTAGATGCGCGAATATTTTAACATTTGAAATGATTCCAAATATCGGTTCAAAATGATATTGGCATCAAATACTCGACAATAACAACCGTAAAAGCTTTTCTGTAATGTTTCGCAGTACTCTCGTGAAGCCATAGTGACCGAGTTGCTTATAACGCCGCTTTGAACAAGTATATTAGTATAACAGGGTTTGTCAGTTTCAATGAAGGGAAAATATAAAGTGACCGTTACTACTATGGGGCCACCTCTAACCTTCCACCACTGAAGGCAGTTCCATTGGCTGCTCCAAACGTTGACACCATGACAGACAGAGGCATGATGACGGCAGCAGCTCCAAGGACACGGTCTCCCCACGTCTACAACATTGACGAGGACAACAGTGTAAACTGAAGCAGAAAATGACAAAAATAGCACAATCAGGCAACAACAACCATCACGTTAGGACTGGCATCTCCGAGGGCAGCCATGACGGTCATCTGGGATATGGTGACCTCTCACCACAACAACTACAGCGGTATCCCCTGGCAGTGACCATATATGTCTACCATATACAATAGCTACTGACTTGAAGCAGTTCCTGGCCTCAGGTGGTCATCATTGTGATAGAAGGTTGAACACTGCATTGACCTCTAGTAGGTCCTGGTCAGTCATCACGGTGGGGTAGGATGCAGTAACCACACAGCCACTACATACACATCTCTGATGCTAAGACAGGACATCGCAACTTTTCCCAACAAACTTATCTGACAAGCTGACCACACACCAGCAGCCCCTTGGTAGTAGTGTGACTAGATAGGACAAGTGTATATCTGACAAGCTGCCCAATGACCACAGCCACTGCATTGACATCTCACAGCTCATCGGTTGACTAGATAGGACAAGTTTATATTGGACAAGCTGCCCTCTGACCACAGCCACTGCACTGACATCTCACAGCTCATCGGTTGACTAGATAGGACAAGTGTATATCTGACAAGCTGCCCACTCACCACAGCCACTGCATCGGAATCAAGCAGCTCCTGTGTAGTCATCACGCTGAGGTAGGAGATGTTTGTCAAGACGTAGACGATGGTGACGAGAAGGACGCCGAATATATTGGCACGTGGAAGATTTCTGTACACAAATATAGTTATTTTGATATAATAACATCCTGGTCACCATGATCTCATTTGAGAATTATTATAAGGCCAACCTACATGAATCTTTAAGATATGGTTGCATATGTGTACTGAATAGGTAGTCTTCGTCCTGACATTGTTTGGAACAATTCACCAGTGGCAACGATAACGAATACAAGAAATAAATGTATTCTCACTTGTAGATCCATTTGGTAATGTACTCACTTTTCTGGATTTTCAAGTTCTTCCGTAACGTAGTTAAGATTGTTCCTGTGGAAGAGAATGTGTTTAGTTCATAATTATCATGATGTAGTAATTCTTGTATAGTCACATGCACATACATGTACATAAAACACATTCTAGAATAGGTATTGTCAATGGTCAGTTAACTTACCAGCCGTCGTAGGCCCACAAAGCGCCGTAAAATGCCAGCGCTATCGTTGATGGTGAGGTTGTCGACCCCTCAAAACCCTCCTCCAGGACGCTGATGTTACCTGGAGACATTATTGAATACCTGCTACAATAATGTAGTATGAGACCATGTGTCTGACGCCAAATCCAGGATCATAAAAACGCCAATTCCAGCCATAATAAGTTCGATATTAAATCACGAATGCATTTCCGCCATGGCGCTCTGCAGCAACGTTGCTAATGTCAATCCCAGCGTCAATGGCGGCGGTGTGAGGTTACGTTATGCTCGCCCACCTATTTCAATATCGTCAAGGGTGATATCTAATTATTATCCACGTTTCTCACTGAAGCATATACTCGTAACCTTCCTTGACACATACTGTTTGTTTTCATTGTTTTTTAGCGTACCTGTGCAAAGGGATGTAATGTTATTACAATATCTTCAGTACTTGACATCCTCGACTTCATTCATAATTCATAACATCAGAGATGTCAATCTTATTCAAATCCGATCTCAGTAATAGTTACCGCCAAACAAAGATCTGAGGACATCCCATCATAGCTATCGCTAAAGAGAGATCTGAGGACATCCCATTATAGTTACTGCTAAACAAAGATATCAGGACATCCCATTATAGTTATCGCCAAAGAGAGATCTGAGGACATCCCATTATAGTTATCGCCAAACAAAGATCTGAGGACATCCCATTATAGTTATCGCCAAAAAAGATATGAGGACATCCCATTATAGTTATCGCTAAACAAAGACATGAGGACATCCCATTATAGTTATCGCCAAACAAAGATATGAGGACATCCCATTATAGTTACCGCTAAACAAAGATCTGAGGACATCCCATTATAGTTATCGCCAAACAAAGATATGAGGACATCCCATTATAGTTACCGCTAAACAAATATATTAGGACATCCCATCATAGCTATCGCCAAACAAAGATCTGAGGACATCCCATTATAGTTATCGCCAAACAAAGATCTGAGGACATCCCATTATAGTTATCGCCAAAAAAGATATGAGGACATCCCATTATAGTTATCGCTAAACAAAGACATGAGGACATCCCATTATAGTTATCGCCAAACAAAGATATGAGGACATCCCATTATAGTTACCGCTAAACTAGGATATCAGGACATCCAATTATAGTTATCGCCAAACAAAGATATGAGGACATCCCATTATAGTTACCGCTAAACAAAGATCTGAGGACATCCCATTATAGTTATCGCCAAACAAAGATATGAGGACATCCCATTATAGTTACCGCTAAACAAAGATATGAGGACATCCCATCATAGCTATCGCCAAACAAAGATCTGAGGACATCCCATTATAGTTATCGCCAAAACAGAGGTCTGAGGACATCCCATTACGTGTCATGTCAGAACACACTTTCATCCGACCAATGAGAGCATCACTTACAAGGCCAGGAAAGTGACAGTCGGAATGTGTTTTCTAATCATGCAACCTCGAAAATGTTAACACGGGGTATGCCGAACGACAGTTAAGGGCTGTAAGACTAAATCCGTCAAAATCATCGTTTGTCTCCCGCTTCAAAAGGAACGGAAGAGGCTTTCCATAGTCTTTGGGAAGTACTGCCAAACAATCTGGGACATATATTAGACATTAGACACGGGTGGTCCAGTCGTCTAAGGCGCCGCAATTCGCTGTCCAGAGTTGTGTCCCCTGGGCACGCCAGAAACTTATGATTGTGGGTTTGAATCACCACGATTATGTTTCTAGGTTTGTCAGCACCATACCCGTGCTCGTGGGTTTCACCGAAGTGGTAAACGTCTGAGACCTGCATCACTTCGGGCTTTCCTCCCACATTAAGCTGACACGCCGCGATATAACTGGAATACTGTTAAAAGTAAACTCACTCACTCAGTCTTCAATATTTGATCGACATCTTTGTCAAAACAGTTTTCAAAGCGTAGTCTGGAATGGAAGTCGCCAGTTTGAAGCAAGTGCTGTTTAACTCTAGAAGTCATTTCAATTGGTTGGTCAAAGTTAATGAAAGGCCGATGACGTGACCTGTAAGGGGATGTCCTTAGGTCTGTGTTTTGCAGTAGCGAGAACTAAGATCTGATTTTAATGAGATTGGAATGCAACGATAGAACAATGACTTGACTTAAGAACCCACATATCTTTGCTTTATATGAGTTTTCATATGTGCATCTTGACTTAATTCACTGAGGTATATTTAACATCTTCAATTACATAAGACTTTCTTTAACATACCTTCCGCCATCTTGACTACACCGCCGACGATGATGATGCCGAGAGCGATGAGTTTGGCGGCTGTGAAGACGACCTGCACCCTGGCGGCCAACTTGGTGCTCCAGCTATTGACAATGCCCACAGTGACTGGAGTAGAAGCATTATAATCAGACACCACACACAGCGGGACCACCCTGCCTGCCGGTAGTCTTTGCTTGTTTGTTTGTTGTTTAACGCCGCACTCAGCAATATTCCAGCTATATGACGGCGGTCTGTAAATAATCGATTCTGGACCAGACAATCCAGTTATTAATATCATGAGCATCGATCCACGCAATTGGGATCGATGACATGCATTAACCAAGTCAGCGAGCCTGACCACCTGATCCCGTTAGTCGCCTTTTACGACAAGCATAGTCACCTTTTACGGCAAGCATGGGTTGCTGAAGACCTATTCTACACCGGAATCTTCACGGGTCCCTGCCGGTAGTCGGAATCGTACAATGAATGATTATGGAAATAGTTTTTATCTCTTTTATCATACACTTTTCTATAAAAGTACGCATATATGTATCATCTTTGTTATATACATTCACCAACATTGTGTGGGTGGTGGTGGAGGTAGGGATGTAACCGTATTGTTCGGAATAACCGCAGTTAACTGTATACAGCAAATGGCCAGGATCCCAAAACAATTCGTTCTGTCCGTCAGTTCGTTATAAGCGTAGTCTTCTGCACATACTTAAAGTAAAACAATCATCTTGGGTCATGGACTTCATCACAGTGTGTTTTTCTCTTGAAGTTTAAAAATCGTCTTTTACGCTTAGTTTAGTCTAGTTAATATTAAACGTTGCTATTTCTAGTCGTCCAGATGGATCCTTATTGTGCTTCGACCTTTGATCAAGTGGATGATACAGTTAACTACCGGTTATAACGAACTCAAAGGGACCCTAATTTTAGTTCGTTATAAACGTAGCTCGTTATAAGCATATATACAGCCTATATACAGCAAATGGCCGCACCCCAAAAAGTTCGTTATATCCGTCAGTTCGTTATTAGAGTAGTTTACTGTATAGTCGTTCTCCCCATATCATGTGATGTTCCTCGGGATGAACTCACTCAGTGCAATGGCCGCCACGATCTTGGTGGGAGCAACTGGTGCGCCACACATGGTGAAGAAACTCTCCACGTACTGGGCGAACGTCAACGTGATGATCGACAGCGACGACGTCCTGATGACGATGACGGACGTCCATGAGTAGAGGAAGGCGGGGATGTTACCGAGGGCGGCGCGGATGTAGGCGTACTCCCCTCCCGACAGACGGATCAGCGTCCCCAGCTCGGAGTAACACAGCGCCCCTGGAAGAGAGCATTCAATAGTTTCTTGCTACAAGTAGAATACAGTTAACTACGGTTATAAAGAACTCAAATGGACCCTTAGTTTAGTTCGTTATAACCGTAACTCGTTATAATATTTTGTTTGGTTTGTTGTTTAACGCCACACTCAGCAATGTCCCAGCTATATGACGGAGGTATGTAAATAATCGATTCCGGACCAGAAAATCGAGTGATTATTGACATAATGAACATCGATACACATAATTGGGATACGATGACATTCATCAACCAAGTCAGCGAGCCTGATCACCCGACCCCGTTAATCGCCTCTTACGACAAGCATGGGTTGCTAAAGGCCAATTCTAATCCGGAATCTTCATGGGACCAGCTTGTTATAAGCATATATACAGCATATATATACAGTAAATGGCCGGGACCAACCCCCCCCCCCCAAAAAAAAAAAAAATAATAATAAAAAAAATCAATAATAAAAAATCGCTATATCCTTCAGTTCGTTATAAGCGTGTTCGTTATAAGCGTAGTTTACTGTATGTATATATCAGAATATTCCGTACAAGGAGAGATATAGTTATAACTGTAAGGACTGTTGTGGAGGTTCTACCTTTTATTGGTTTGCCCATTGTATGGTAGTATGCGACTGGACCTTCTTTTTACATGTTATCTTAATCTGTCATATTTTACGTCCTATCCTATATATTCAATTTGTTTCTTGTAAGTCGCGTACTTTTATGTTATGCCTTCTGATTTATGATGTTATGTACCTGTAAGCGAGACATAAATAAACCCATCTGTCTGTAGTAACCACAATAAACTGATTATTGAAAGTATACCGACAATGTGTGGTAAGCACACGGGTCGCAAATAAGGTGAAGTTAGGCAACGTCGGTCGCGGAGAATAGCTGGATGGGAAACTGTTACGTATCGACTTCCAAACTGCACAAATACGTTAATCTATACATCTATACTTAAAAGAATTAAGTTTTAAACCAATACAAAAAAAATATACAGGTAACAATTGCGTTATAAATTCACTATGTTTACAAATCGATATAAATTACTGCACAACATTTACAATGACAGTACAATTACAATGGCAGTATAATATATAATCGCAGTGATAATAATATCATCTACATCAACAGTGGTCAAGCTTCTAAAACAGGCCTAGGCTGGATATCCTAGGTCAAAAGAATAATCTTCACACATCCGCTGGTCTTGATGTAATGTGAGATGAGAGAGGCACGCCCTTGCCCCCTTATATAGTCTCAATACCTTCTAGAAGGTTCTGTATAGTGGTGGATCAGTCTAGATGTTCTGGAAGATTTCAAATTACTCTTGGTCCCAAAAGCATTGAAATAAAGTCACTTCCACACCATTGCTTACAATGTACATTATGTAGTAATACGTTCCTGACAACTACCCATTATTTTGGGCTTTCTTAACACATTTGACTGCCATGCGGGTAACTCCCTCACTCCCTCACCTGTCAGGGGAGACTGTCATATGCACCTACCCAAGAGAGCGATGAGTCCCGAGGCTGCCCACACCACCAGACTGAGTCCCACTGACCCCGTGTCCCTCAGAACGCCCTTGGGGGACACGAAAATACCCGACCCTGAAAATGTGAACCTGAATTAATTTTAAATGTTACATGCAGTGTGTGATGGTCACAACGCTTCAAAGATGTAAACAACCACGTGTCTCTCAGTTGTCAGTATTGACTGATATAATCAAGGAAATATGAATGATTCTTAATGTTTGTATTAACAAATGTATTGATTCATCATTTCCTGTGGAAACATTTTGTTAAAAAAGTTTGCGCGTAATAGTTGTTCAATCTATACAAGCGTCGTCATTTTCAATCATTGTTGCTGTGTTACCATTGGTTACAGTAAGAGCAATTTGCTCTGCTTCCGCTGATTGCAGATTTGCATCCAAGATTCGCCTCGATCACTAGCCTTGTTTTACCAGCATAATACCTGTACGTCCTCTTTGGCTCTCATCGCACATAGGCCTGACATATTATATCATATATAACTGATAATTTGTTAAAAGTGACGTCAAACCCAACTCACTCACTTGGTTTGTCAGCAAAATACCCGAAAGCAAAAGTCCGCTTTGGCTCTCATCGCACATAGACCTGACATATTATATCATATATAACTCATATATTGTTCAAGGTGACGTCAAACCCAACTAACTCACTTGGTTTGTCAGCATAATACCTGTAGGTTTCGCCAAAATGGTAAACGTCCCCTTTGACTTTCACAGCACATAGGAATGACACGCTGTGATGTAACTGAAATATTGTTCAAAGTGGCGTCAAACAAAACTCACTCACTCACTTGGTTTTTTCAGTATAATATAATACCCGTTGGTTTAACCAAAATGGCGTGCGTCCCCTTTGGCTATCATAGCACCTTGGGCTGACTCGCCGGGATATAACTGAAATACTGTTCAAAGTGGCGTCAAACCAAACTCACTCACTCACGTGGTTTTTTCAGTATAATACCCGTTGGTTTCACCAAAATGGTGTGCGTCCCCTTTGGCTATCATAGCACCTTGGGCTGACTCGCCGTGATATAACTGAAATACTGTTCAAAGTGGCGTCAAACTTGGTTTTTTCAGTAAAATACCCGTGGGTTTAACCAAAATAGTATGCGTCCCCTTTGGCTATCATAGCACGTTGGGCTGACTCGCCGTGATATAACTGAAATACTGTTCAAGTGGAGTCAACCCTATCCCCAGCGATTCCAGTATTACCTATGATAGTTCCGACGATGATGGAGATTCCGCTGAACACGCCAACATTACGTTGCATCTGCACCTTCTGGACAATTTCCACCGTGGTCGAGCTGGTATCGTTGTCAGCGTTGTCATATGGGGGCTTGACCTGACGCTGTCGAACCGAGTCCAGGCCTCCATTCTCCCCATCTGGGCCTGTAGAAGTGACTTCACACATATACATTACAAATATACTGCTATTATGTGACTCCTGTCAAAAGCCTGGCGAAATCTTACAACAAAGTGCCCCTCATTTGACGTCACATCCGGTCTAACGTCTGCTAGATGGCGCCATTTTGAATAACATTATGGACATGTAACGGATATATATATATATATATATATATATATATATATATATATATATATATATAGGTAATCACACGTGTGTTTTGGAATGCTGTATCAGGAATTATATATTGCATTTAGCAAGCCTTGACAGACAGATATGTAATTAGGTCGTTCAATATCAGGTTTGTTCGGTCACAGTTTATCTTAGCTGGCAAATAACATAAATTCGTCAAAGTACTTCCATCAACTCTTACTGTGCTTCCTAAAGACATGCGAGTCAGAAAGCAAGCGCCGCAGTCAAGATAACAATACACTATATCACAATATACCAGCTACAGGCATAGACCTCACAAGCGACTAACGTTGACTTGGTAGATGCATGTCATCGTATCCCAATGATATCAATCATGGTATCAATCACTGGATTGTCTGGTCTAGACTCGATTATTTACAGACCGTCGTCACATAGTTGGAATATTGCTAAGTGCGCAGTCAAACAACAAACAAAAAAAAGATCTCGCGAGATCTGCGTCGTATGCAACCCGTCGGCTACATGCATGTTGCATCAACTAATTGTACCGTGTAAATGTCTCTTAAGGTTAACTAACGACCTAGGTATCTGTAGGGTAGGACGCGCGTACGCAGGCAAATGAATTGTGTAAGCCCCGATACCTTGCCGAGTGACTTGCAATGATGTATTCATGTTAAGACACATCATAAGAAAAACGTTAAGCCTATTGTTCTTATGACGCAAAATGTCAATTTGGTGACCTCTCCCACACCAGATGGCTTCATATGGTTATGTTCAAAACAATGGGACACACTACGAGAGCTGTACATTAGACACATGACACGTGTTATCGCCAAGGCTGTACATACCTCAATGCATGGGCACGGGTTAAGATAACAGACTATTATCATCAACAAACATGACTATGTAAATGGAGGAACGAAACCACTCGTAACACGATATCCTCTTATTTTCAATTATCTACGCCGGCCACAGGTCACCTCGGGGTCGTCTGGAATCCATTGAAAAGTTGAAAAGTACACTGTCGGATGAAAGGTCTGATTAAATAAGTTTACATGTCTTTATGCACTTCTACACATGTTTTTTATTCCACAAAATAAACCTTTAAGGGTGGAAACGGTTCTCATAGAGAGAGAGAGAGAGAGAGAGAGAGAGAGAGAGAGAGAGAGAGAGAGAGAGAGAGAGAGAGAGAGATATGTTTCAATACTTCAGGAATGACGTTTGTTTTTGTCTTACACTGAACTACTGCATCGCTATCTTGGGTGGATGTGAACTGGGTAAAGTCCCGTCGTCTGTGGTAGCAAGAAATATAATTGAGAGTTATATTTCTTCTATTTAGATACACCTTCGCGTCTATCATCTGACAGGTCCGTGGCTATCATGTTGTGTTACGTTACCGATACCACCGACTAATAACACTAGACCGCCATTCGCACACTCATAAAGCCTGTGTCAATATCACCAGAGGGGCTGTCACGTGAGAGTCACGCCCTAACAGGCAGCTCATAGATATCTGTTTTTATCAAAGCACAAATAACCTGGAGAAAAAGGGTTATACAGCCTCGCAGCAGGTGGGTGCATGCTGGAAGACAGCATTGTTAAGTCTTTACAGCAACACGTACGGACCGACTGTGTTATCTGGCCTTGGGAAAGTAGCCATTCAGAATCGTTGACCGAAAGCCTGGTGTTAACGTGGTGCATAACTACACGCTTGTGGATCGTGGACCGTATTGTCCCTGGGATCATCTGTGTGGTTTGTGTCGAGGTTAAGGTTAAGAGTTAGTGAGGAAGATTTAAACCCTATAAAGGACTTACTTGAACAAAGCTTTTACCACCAAGAGTAGCCAACATGAGTCACCATGATCTCAGACAAATAAACAATATACGTTCCTCACTCTCGAACACTTTCTTACCACCACTCTTTGGAACCAGACACATTCAAAATATGGAGTAACCTTTCTCTGGAATGTACAATTTCTTCTACACTATTGTGTTTTAAATGTAGAGTAACACAAGAAATACATTAACCTCCTTGTTACTTCTTATCTGGGGATAGAAGAGCAAGTATACTCATACTCGTTTAATTCCTGCAATTCCCTCAATGCAGATTTATTTTCAGTCAATTTGTCAAAAAAAGTAACATGCCCGTGTGGAAATCAATGCAAAAACGTCTATCAGTGTTTTCTCGAATGTCCCAAATATAATGTCATTATAACTTCATTATAAAACAATATCTTATCAGTTGGGGGGTTAACAATTCTCTCTGGTGATATTTCATGCTCTTCACTACATAACATCTTTATATTCAAAAGTGTGCACAAATATATCATGGCAACAATGAGATTTGATTAACATTTTATTTACTTCAATTTATATTCATATACATCTAATATTTTACATTTGTTGTTTTACCATTTTCAACCTCTCACCGGATGACTGGTGTACATCGTTTATCACAGCAATAGTTTATGTAATTTTATTCATCATCATCATTTATTGTATTCTGGCCATAGGCCCATATACATACAGTAACATTATATATATACAATTTTGTACATGTAGAAGTATAAACATGCAGACTTATATGCACAGAGATGTGCACGTGTACAATTTTGTGAAAAATAAGTTTATTAATTACTAATGTAACTATTTCAATGGAAGTATCGCACTGTGTATGCTCTTTATTTATTTCAATGTTGAATATTATCACTATTGCGCGCTGACTGTATAAAAGTTTATTTAAAGGTCGTTGAAAGTTGAATAACTTTTGCCGTATCACTTATGTCAATAAAATATGTTTAAAATAAAAACAAAGGACTTGTCGGAATTGTATGATGGACGAAAATGAATCAGTTCGTGTGTTAAAGAAAACAACAACTATAGTCGCTCCTTATCCTTAGGCCTCCGTGGTCTAGTGGTAGAGCGTCCGCCCGGTGAGCGGAAGGTCCGGGGTTCGATCCCCGGCCGCGTCATACCAAAAGACGTTGAAAGATGGTACTTGTTGTTACCCTGTCTGGCGCTCGGCATTAAGGGGCTAAAACAAAGACTGGTCGGCTCGGAGTCAGTATACTGTGTCTGAGTGGGGTATTCATATAAAACTGTGGCATGGTATCTCAGTGAGCTAGCACTATAAATCGGCATCAGTCCGGACTAGTACAAGCAGCCACACACACACACACGTGCATGCACGTCGCTATATAAGTGCAACAATCTTGGACGCGACGTTAAACCCACCTCACCTCCTTATCCTTATCATAAACATGGCAAGTTGAAGTGCAAACATACCATTCACCTGTTGAATGCCGTGTAACACATTCATGAGTTCATGTTGGAAAGCATACGAACACTTGTCAGAGTTCACACATATGAGAAATCTTTGTAAAGCTTATAGGTAGCGGTTACACAATATGTTTTTATAGTTTTAAATATAATATGTGACATATTTTTGACCGAGTGGATTAAGGTGACACTGGGAATATTAATTGTCGTAGGAAAAAGGGAGATTAAAACATTAGTACAGTACATACAGTTCCAGAAATTAGACGAGTGAGTGAGTGAGTGAGTGAGTGAGTGAGTGAGTGAAGGAAGCAAGTGGTCAGATCTCACACGAGAGCCTTTAAATAATAAATAAAACAGTACCTGCAATAAAAACCACATGCATATTGAAATTATGTGGTATCAATTACTATCATAGACATATATATGTTTTAAATAAAAAAGGAGGCCTGTAGCTAAGGCTTGGACAAGGCAAACCAGTGACTTCACAACGTTCCACTCCGTTGGTGTACCATGGAATAAAACTAGTCACTCTTACGACAAGTAATACAGTGATGTGAACCTATTCTAATCCGGTCTCACAGGGAAGAAATCAATTATATACACTGGCGAGCTAAAGAAGCTATGCCCAAATCTAATTTATAAGAATTTAGATTCGAACACGAAATAATGTTCCCAAACTATATAAAACCAATCGCTGAAATGCAACAGAAAAGGGACAGCCATTGTACAAATGCCGGTAGGCCAGGGCATGCTTACCCTTTTCGCGAACACCTAGCTATTCGCTAAAATTGGAAATGCACGTGCACCATGATCAAATGATGCATACGTGTATAATAAGAATTCACAATAGTCGTCAGTGCATAAGGAGTTCAGTAGTCAGTGGTCGATAGGCACGGAGACCATACAGGTGGAGTCGTCTAGTAACGGTCCTTCTGCTGACTGGATGTCCAAGGCTGTTTGCGGATGATGACGGATGATAGGAATCTGCATTTTTTTGTGATTAAATTCACTTTTCTCGAAAATCACGTGAAGCGCGTGCACATGTTCACAGGGAATAGGTCAGTTGAATTCCAGCTATGTGTTCCCAACTGTTTTCGTGCTGTTTGGCAAATCTGTTGAAAACTTACGACCACTGTTTATTTGGTGGCGTTTCTTTTGCCCCTCAGTTTGTAACACGTATTATCCATCACTTTTTGCAGGTCAATAACGTCAACCTTTTGTCTTAGCTACCTCGCTCTCCTGACACCCCGATCTCCTGTCGTGAACTGAACACCTCTGAGGCCACTTTGATAGTCAAGTTAGAACACGACCTAACACTCCCGCAAACAGACGTGACTACAGGCACTCTTGGAAGGATGGCGCCGAAAACCGAATGACGTTATCCAACGTCTCACGAACTCTGCATGACGTTGGTGGAGGTTGGCGTGCGGCAATGTGATATTGACAGAGCTCACTTCAATTTCATTCATGCAGGGTGACATTATTGTCAACCATATTATATCCACTATGACTGCTACCTGACAGTCTACCATGCCCTTGCTGTCCGCCCGGAGAGCGGAAGGTCCAGGGTTCGATCCCAGCTCGCGTCATACCAAAATACGTTAAAATATGGTACTTGTTGTTACCCTGTCTGGCGCTCGGCATTAAGGGGCTAAAACAAGGACTGGTCGGCTCGGAGTCATTGCACTGTCTCTGTGTGGAGTATTCATGTTAACTGTGGCATGGTATCTCATTTGGCTAGCACTATAAAATCGACATTAGTCCGGACTAGTACAAGCGGCCAAACGCACGCACGCACGTCGCTATATAAGTGCAGTAATCTTGGACGCGACGTTAACCCCCATTTCACTTTACCTCACCACATTGTGGGACATGTCATTTCGCTCCCAGTGATTTACTTCTCACAATCGTTTCTCTCCATTTGCTTATGTCATGGTTAGAAACGCTACATGTGGAATATCCTTTTGTCAAGTCTGATACATAGTTCGGGATAGTTACTTTTGCTCGTGAGTGTGGTAAAGTCCTGATATAATGAAATCGGGTTTAGAGAACGGGTGGTTTAATGAAACTAAATTTTTTTTAGAATATAACGAACTTCAAGAGTGAACAGCGACAAGGGAAAAGCTGTTAGAACACAATACATTGTGAAAAATGTGTTTATATCCCAAACACAAACCTGAACTCGTTCCTTGAAATTCATTGTAGGTAATTTAAAAAAGGGGCAGCTTTCTTGATGTTTATTAAATTTAGTGTTTAATAAAAATATTATAGTTTAGGACAAGGGCCTATCGTAGAACTGACACATGCATAATTCTAAACATGTTTAGATTATGAAGATGTGGTGTTTAGGTGGTGTTTAGGCTGTGAGACGACAGCTCAATTCATGTGTTTATACCCTTAACGTGTTTAGACAGAACATACCAAATGTGTATTCCGTATTAAACACATTTCTAACATGTTTATATTAAAAAATGGCTTGTATGTCTTTACATTCAAAATACATTGTTTACATTGCACCAACTTACACACCATGCATACATAAGGGAGATTATATTTCAACACTAAAACAAACGCCTGGCAGTTCAAGGGTCCTCAGTTCAACATGCTATATCTACACGCCTTAGCAACGTACGAATTTTCTAAACACCACAAAACTGGCCTTGACCGATGTACGCCACAGCAACATATACATGGTTTCTACACCTACCCAGAAAGGCCTTACGATTGTAACTTTTCAAAATGCGATTTTTTTTCCAGTTGTAGTAGAAACTGCCAGATGACTTTAATTAGGTTTCAGGGTTCTCCTTGAAGATAGCAACAGAACGTTGTGTGTTTTAATACTGCATATGTATGTTAATACTGTATTTATATTTGAAAACCGCATCTGTATTTTATTACCGAATATGAAATTTTGGCGCTCGATAGTCACAAGCTGTCGTTGTACAATCACGGGCAGCAATAACGGCTCTGCATCTCCTCGGCACGGACTGGATAAGTGGACGAATTCTGTCCTGCGGAATTCTGCTTGTAACGCGTTGGCCAGTTGTAGTAGTGTCTGTGGCGTGTTCTGACATTGACGTAAACTCCGATCGAGTTCATCCCATAGGTGTTCCATTGGTTGAGATCTGGAGATCACGACGGCCAGGGCAAAACGTTGATGTTGTCATTATGAAGGTAGCCTACCGTGACACGAGCTGTGTGCGGCGCAGCGTTGTCCTGTTGAAACAATTGGCGGTCAGTGATTGGAAGAAGGTGAGGTTGTTGAAGATTTGAGGTCGTATTCACGTACACAAAGTGGGGCAAAACGATCATTTCTAGGACGATAAACACGTTGCCTTCCATCTCGCCGGTGAAGAAGAAATCGTGATTCATCGCTAAACCACACTCGTCTCCAGTTTCTCAAATTCCAAGGCTGTAAGGTATGGCACCAACGCAAGCGTCGCTGTCGATAGAACCGTTAGAAGGACGATAATTGGTCTTCTGGGTCTGATTCCAGCCTCGCGAAGATGGTTCCTGACACTCTGGTCCGATATCCTCCCGAAACCAGGGATGCGTCCTGCATTATCCGTAGCTGTGGCATTGCGATGACGTAGATGGAACAGTCGAATGTAGCGATCCTGTGCAGGGGTAGAAACTCTTGGTCGGCCGGTTCTCTGTCGGTCTGCAGTGGAATTGAACTGTGTGTATCGGTCACAAATGCGGCAAATGGTACTGTTGTGGACGTTGAAGTGGCGTGCAACAGAAGACTGCGATTCCCCTCTTTGGATACGTCCTATGGCGATGTTCCGATCGGCAGCGCTGAGTCTCGGCATTTTCGAACTTGAAAAATGTTGACAATCTTATCACAAATTATTGGCTTATGCTTGCCTTTTTAATGCCACTATCACGAGTCACGAATGCCATACCTTGCACGTGCATTTTGCTTTAATGTTTTCCTCCATGACATTTTTGAACAAATCGACAATGGCTGTGTCTTGACGCAGCGTTTGTTGAATACCAGGCCACCAACATTTTTCCAAAACACATATCCAATTTATATACCGGATGTTTTGTGTAGACAGGTTCAATGAACTCCATACTACTTGTGCGTATCTATTTTTGAAGAGTGTAAGTGCAATAATAATTTAAAAAAATGAACGCGGCGTTAAACCCTTCTACACCACCATCACCCATTTCTTCTGCATCTCTGTAAACTAGAACAAATAATGCGAGTTACAAGTTGCAACCCCCCCCCCCCCCCCCCCCCCCCCACACACACACACACACACACACACACACCACCCACCCACACACACACCAAAATAAAAAATAAATAAATAGAAAATAAAATAATAATAATAATTAAAAAAGAAAATCAACAAAACTAACCAATGGTTGTTATAATTGTTGTATTGCGTATGGTATGTGCAGTCTCCACGTCTATAACATTAATTTATCACATTTTTCTTACCTGAAGGTTTATCATTTGCCATTAGTCAAGACAGCAGGTATCCTCGCGAATCGTCCAGGTGAAAATGCAGCTAAAATGCCCAGGTAAAGTTGCAGGCGACTGTCTAGGTGTTGTTTGCAATTGTGTCGGCAGTGAAGTCGATTATGTCAGAATTACTGTGACCAGCGTCTTGTCACAACTACGTCATTATATATCCGCGACGCAGGGCCGCGTGTATCAGCTTGGTAGGTTGAGGGGAGAGCACGGATAGCGTGCCGGAGCCCCTCAACCAGGCTTCAAGTAGGTCACGGGGGTTTGTTTTTGATATATGACCGACCTGTGATATATATAAGTATTGTGATCATCTCAACGTGTTATTGACGTAACTCTGAGATAGTCTTGATAACGTTTATCTGTTATTAATTGATGATATATGTGGCTTCTCAAGTGAGGCATGGTATACACTAGGTGGGTAGGTATATGTGTGTGTAGACTATGGAGGTATTTTAACACATTTGAGGAAGATAATTTCTGAGATTACCATGCAAAAATGTGCAGCTTCGTCGCTCTTAAAATCTGTTCAGATAACAACTGGTTTTCAAGTCGGGCTTTGAGGTCAGATGAGCTTAAGTGTATTTGAGTTTGTGCTCCGACCTCTACGGACGTGTGTGAGAGAATCTTGAACTACGTGTATGACGGATAAAGTCGGGTTATTGACTCGGCGGGGTCAGTAGTGGCAGTTTAGAAGGACAATGGGACAATGTGCAGGGTCAGTCAATCAATTTCCAAACAACAAATGGTGTTCATATACCGGCCAGAGCTCCAGATAAGCTGCGTGTCTGCGTGAAATACGCATCAGAAATGCAGAAATACACAGTAAAATATAATCCAAGCGTATCAAATACGCAACTAACATTACAGATACGCTACAAAAATAAAACTTGTGCGTATCATCAAAATATTGTGAAGTAACCCTGCGTATTCGATTAGCAAATCAGCAACTTATTTTGAAATTATAAACGGGCATTCCGTCAACCTTGCAAAACTCCACGATGACGGTTACATCATGATCATTTGCCATCACACTTTCTTGTGGAAGTACCGTGGTATTTTTGAGTCCTATAAAGCTCTCGAACCCACACGACACAAGTTTGCAGGGACTAGATGAATAGTGTTTTCAAATATTTAACTTAAATACCCACTTGTGTAAAAACTAGTGGGTAACAGAATTTTGAATACGCAGATAGAATTACTGATACCCAAATATTTTAAAATGCATGGGTAAAATACCCACAACACCAAAAGCTTATCTGGAGCTCTGTATACCACAGCATATACTGGGATAACGTGGTTTGCCATTACAATTTTACAAACAGTGTCAATGATGATTCATCGTCAGTACTTAATGGGTTCTGTATACAACGTTCCTCAAGGACTTGAAGCACTGACGATGATAATTATAAAGATCGTTTAATAACCTGGTATTATCTTCCTCTGGCTCTCGTGTTTTCACGTAAATAAGCTGTTGTTTGTTTGTTGTTTAAAGCCGCACCCGGCAATATTCAATCTGTATGACGGCGGTCTGTAAATAACGTGTCTAAACAATCCAGTGATTAACATCATGAGCATCGATCTACATGCATCAATCAAGTCAGCGAGCCTGGCCACCCATTGGGCGACTCTTACGACAAGCATGAGTTGCTGAAAACCAATAGGTTTCCTAACCCGGGTCTTCACGGTGAGATACTACACAAAGGCCAAGCACGTGCGGATCCCGTGTCAGAATAGGTATCTGTTACTACTTATTTTTAAGTGTCATCTTACTCGATTGGGTTGACCATTGCGCATGTTTTCAATCATTGGCTTGCCAGATTCGATTTTTTACAGACCTTCGTGATATAGCTGGAATATTGATGACATCGTCGATTTCTAACATTCACTTAATTATTGACTCCTAGAAGGCACATTGTAGCGTTGTCGCCAATTTCAAGCCTATTTTACATCTTTAGTAGGGGCGGCAATGCGACAAGGCGGCATATTTTGACCTTAAAAATGTGGCTTCGCATTGCTGCTCTTTAGGAACAGTCAAACAGTATTCAAAGAGAAATTTGGCGTTGTCGCATCGTCGTATGGTTTCGCTTTGGTTAATTTTGACATCTTGTGCTTGTTTTTGCAAGGGAGACAACGCGACAAAATCCCTTCTGGGATTCCATACTTATTAACTAACATTTAGGCAACGTCACCAGGATTGTCCCCAAACTCTCTATTTTAAAGCCATTTTGACAAATGAGATTGTTTGACGATTTAACAATTGTCTTTGATATATTGATATGCAAAAAACAAGCCCCCAAAGTCGAAATTTACCAAAGCGCAACAATGCGACAACGCGACATTTAGACCTGTTTTTGTAAGGGCGACAATGCCACAACACGACAATGTCCCTTCTAGGATACCATATGTAAAAGATCTGCTTCGTGTATACAGGCATCAAATAAAAGATCCTAAAAGCAGGAGTACCCCTTTCAGCACCCACGTGAATACATACGTTGGGAAAGACATTAAATTTAAGATATACGTTATCAATGAATAACCTTATACATACGATACGAAATAGATCTTACAACAAATGACGAAAATCAATTTTCCTCTGTAACGTTTGCTGTGGATAACGACAATATGTTTTCGTAACGGGTAACAAAACTATTCCAACACAAATATCGATATTGAAACCGTATATGTTCAGGTATCTTCACAAAAAATAAGAAATGATAAAATTGTACTTCATAGAAAAGTAACAGACAATGGCACTAACATGTAAATTAGTCCTTAGATTTCCGCATTTACCTGATTGTGGACTGCCTCCGTGGTCTAATGGTAGAGCGTCTGACCGGAGAGCGGAAACTCCGGGGTTCGATCCCCGACCGCGTCATACCAAAAGACGTTAAAAGATGGTACTTGTTGTTACCCTGTCTGGCGCTCGGCATTAAGGGGCTAAAACAAGGACTGGTCGGCTCGGAGTCAGTATACTGTGTCTGAGTTGGGTATTCATGTTAAACTGCGGCATGGTATCTCAGTGTGCTAGCACTAGTACAAGCAGCCACACACACACACGTGCATGCACGTCGCTATATAAGTGCAATAATCTTGGACGCGACGTTAAACCCCATTTCACCTCACCTCACCTACCTGATTGTGTAAGCGTAATTTGAGTGATGTTGCACTATCGATGATATTGAATTTGACAGGTTTGTCGCTTATTTCAGTCTGACAAAATGCGCGCACCTGTTAAACATGAAATATTAAAGGAGAAATCTAAACAAATACATATATGGTTTCTACCTTTAATGCGATAATTGCTCCTCGTTTTGTCTCAGTATCATACATTTTTTTAAAGAAAAAGGATGCGGAGAACGCCCTTTTTAATATCAAATTATCAGTGAAAATCGTATAAGGCTCGCCTCGCAAATAAGTTATATGTCACGTTTGGTTTAGTTTTTCAGTTTCCATGGATACGCGGAGTAGCTCGTACAACGTTTGTGATAAAGCACGCACCTCGCATCAATATTCTGTCAACTAAATCGACCAAAAACAATTTTAATTTTCCCTTTAATAATATGTGCATATAATTAATAAAACATATTAATTTTGTTAAAGTAATTAATTCAGTTACTATTTACAGAATACTCAGCGAGTACTTTTAGCTCATATACAATGATGTCAATTGTGACGTCATCACATTGCTGTGACGCAAAATATAACATGGTCTCTGATACAATCTGATAATCCAACCGATATTGTTGTGCCTTCTTTCGTAATTATTAAAGCAACAAATCATGATATGATTGTCAAGTTAGTGAAACGATATATGTATATCTAAATGGTCAACAAATCACTCACTCCACATGATCCCTGATCATGATATAGTTGTATATTTTCTAAAACGACATTGTATATCAGTCAAATGCTTAAAACGACACAATGTAGCTGTAAAATAAATACAAAACTACATACACGAATAACGACTTATTCTGATAAAACTACCAAATATTTAAAACGACGTATTTTAGCATACAATGTATCTATCAATAACTAAAAGGACATCAAGATACACCTTCCAAATAACTAATGAGATATATAACGGGATTGGGTGGTCAGGCTCGCTGAATTGGTTGATGCATGTCATCGTATCCCAATTACGTGGACCGATTCTCATGATGTCAATCACTTGATTGTCTGGTCCAGATCGACTTTTTACAGGCCGCCGTCATATAGCTGGAATATTCCTGAGTGCGACGTTAAACACACAAAGAAACAAATATACATTGACACAACTGCCAAATCAATTAAACGCCAATCCTGACATACCTATCAAAGAACAAAAAGACATATTCAAATGGAGTATCAAATTGCAAAAAAAGACACATGGTGACATAGCTATCAAATTTCTAAAGATGACACATTGTGATTAAACTGTCAAATTTCTAAAAACGACATATGGTAATGTAGCTATCAAATTGCTAAAACAACACATGCTGATATAGTTATCAAATCAAATTGCTACAACGACACATGCTGTTGTCATTATCAAATTTCTAAAAACGAAACATGCTGCTATAGCCATCACATTGCTAAAATGACAAATGGTTATATAGCTATCAAATTGCTAAAACGACACACGGTGTTATAACTACACGTATCAAACTGCTTATAACGACAGGTGCTTATTTGTGCACTGACACATTACTGTGATTCATGCACGTTATTAGTCCTTGAGCATTGTTATTCAACAACAAGAATATTCTGGTAGTATGCCTGTTAAATAAACATACACACACGTGTCAACACATGTACACTGTAGCTTCATATAGTTATTGAACATATTCAACTGATTATAACATAACAAAAATACACCAGTATCTATCACAGAGATGAGTCCAGCTGAAATCCTGTTGTTGGAAGCCATCCTATAATTCAGGTGGGGGGACGACCTCTAATATTAGCTGTGTACATTCAGTCAGTTTGTCTGAAACACACAGAAACACTTGGCATGGAAATAACATTTTCCATTGGCAAAAAGCTGTTGTAATGTGCTGTAAAATGCAATTCTGCAGCTACTGTGACATGAAAATAATTATGTCTCTTTCGGCTGCATCATCAAACGGCTTATCTTCCATAGTTCCTTAAACATATTCACATATTTATTGATAGTCCCTCTTGGATGTGAGCATGCATGAGGCTTAGGTTAAGGAGACGGGGTGCTTTAGAGGTCTAAGAGGACGCAAGTCACGGTGCATGGGTTCAAATTCCGGGCTGTCCTTGGTCATTGTCTTTGGTTTGACAGCCCATACATGTACACGTCCTTGATGTTTCCACCAAGGTAAACGGATGTGATCAAGACCTACGTCATGTTGGGGTTTCGTCCCACATCCAGCTGACATGCTGTGATATGTCTGAATGCAGCATGAATGACGACTCCACCTTCCCAACCCACAATGGGTGGTTAAACAGTTCTGAGGCTTACATCGAAGGAAGTATAGTCCTCCATTAACAGTTTGCATGCATTAAGTACAACACTCCCCATGCTTAGATGCTGCTTTGGAAGCAAATACACAACCAGACAGCATATTTCTGCAGGCACAAAAGTGACTTAGTATTCTCAGTTGAAGAAAATGGTCAAAATTTATTTTGGCATCAAATAACTCCATCTGAAAGAGGGCTAACTCCAACAGCTATCTATGTGGAGCTGGGCAGCAGAGTTCAAGATGGAAAGAGATACCTCAAAGATGATGCAAGAGCAGGAAGACCTTCAACTGCCACCACTAATGAAGGAAAATGTTGGTACATGATTTATTATGGATGATCGACGATTCCCAACGTGCCACATAGCCAATGTAGGTATCTCTTACGAGAGAGTTGAGAACATTCTGGAGATAGAATTGGGCATGATAAGGTTGTCAGGAATCTTCTGAAACGCCCCAGGTCCCTCATCTCTCGTCGTTTTTGTTGATCGATTTGTAACCATGGAGGAGTCTTGGGTTCAGCACTATCAAATAACAGTCTCCCCCTCCCACATGTTAAAGACAAGAGTATAATATTTTACGTGAAACATACCCTTGTCAGACATATTTAAAACAGCGTCAGCACTGCTACCGATTTGTCATTCGTGCTCTTGGTTGTCTAACAGTCATTAAATAAAAGCTAAACAAATCCTTTCCATAATTATAAGAAATATCTGCTGTAAGCAGAGTTCATTGTTCGATTCCGACGGGAGCATTAACATGTGTTTGTGAATCATAATCAAGTAAGTAACAAGGGTGGGCGTAGCCAGCTTTACGTGAGCAAGCCAATGATCCTCCTAAGCAGGAAGACTTATCAGAGACTGACAATGATTTGTGTCAAGGGTCTAAGCGAATAAATAGACTCGAGGAGAAACTGCAACAGTGGAATAAAATATAGCTATACATGACGCTGACAATTTTCAACAACATGAAACACGTGAGTGAGTGAGCGAGTCGTGGACTGGATTTAACGCTGCTTTGAACAGTATACCAGTTATGTCACGGCGTGTCAGCTTGATGTGGGAGGCAGGCCCGAAGTGATGCAGGTCGCAGACGTTTACCATGGCCCTTTGCACCACACAACGTGTTCCCAAACGGGTCCGGTTCAAGGAATCAACAAACACGAGATTTGTGGATGATGAGTCAATGCATTTATAACGTAAAGCTTTTCAATGCCCACCAGGAAAGAGACAATGATCCAAAGAAAGGAAACGCCAGAAAGATTCCACAAGTAAGTCATGTCCATCAGGTCAGTTCTTATAATACTGATATATGTTAGAGATTTGTTACATTGTCAGAATGGCTTCTGATCATCGGCGATTCCGATCACTGCCGAAGTTTCAGCGAATTTGAGGAAGCCCGTGGCTCAAACCGAAGTATGTGTTGTCTCCCTTGAATCTTGTATATTCGCCGGAATTTTGACCTTCAGTGAGAGTTGGTACATGAGAGTCGCGCTTATCATCAAAAATAAAAAATTGTTGATGAAAATATTTTAAGTAGGTATTTTTTGCATGTAAAAAACTAATATGTATTTGAAATAACGAATTTCGTTGTGAAAGATCTAACTGTCTATAAATAAATTGTATCATCAAAATATTTTTACTCATCCCAAAAGTTAAATTTACCGATGCCAATGGGAAATGCTCATCATTGTAGAAATATACTAGCTGTTTGTAGAAGATGAGACCAGTATACATCAACACCTGACTTACCAAAACCTGGAACCTTTAAGTTGAAATGTACGAGTGGGATGTAGAAGATGAGACCCCCCATGACGAAGAGGAAGGCATACAGGAACTCGATCTGGGGGTCCTCCACGATGGGGGCGATGACAAGGTACAGCGAAACCAGAAGCATGATGATCGGGATTGGGATTGGAACCTGAAAGGGAATTAACGAACAAGTCTCTCTTGACTCAATGGGCGCTGTGGTTGTTTAGTGGTCAACATGATCGCATGTCGCAACATAAACCAACATAAACCCGGGTCAGCATGCAATTGAATCCTTTTTGTGACCAGTTTGTTGTCAATATTGTCACTAACGTGACGCTTTACTTCAGCATACATAACGCGTTTATTTGTTGTTTAATACCGCACTCAGCAATATTTCAGCTATATGATAATGAAATGTAGATTAATCGAGCGAGGACAATCCGGCGATTAAAATCATGAAAATAAATTTACGCAATCGGGATACGATGACATGCACAATCTCATTAAAATCAGATCTTAGTTCTCGCTATCCCTTCCTAAACAAAGATCTGAGGACATCCCATTTCGGGTCATGTTTTATGGCCATCTGTTTTTATGAGATTGTGACATGCATCAACAAGTCAGCGAGCCTTACCCCCCGATCCCGTTAGTCGCCTCTTACGACAAGCATAGTCGCCTTTTACGGCAAGCATGGGTTGCTGAAGACTCCTAGATCTTGACAAGTAAACATGTCAAACAAACCATAAAGCTACAAAAGATTTAAACAAAATGTAATAAAGTCGTTGATAGGCATCTTGAAATCTGGTTATGTGGGTTCACTAAGACACGTTTACACTGATATACGACTTCTGTCACACTTGAAAAAAGCTTGTTGCTATGATTCGGTCAAAAGTTCCTTGTGCTCGTAATGAAGGGGCGATGGGATGTGGTGTGGCGGGATTGGGTGATGTGATGTGATGGTGCATGAGGTGAGGTGGGGTGAGGTGAACACGATTATTGCTCTTATATAGCGTCTTGCATGCGGTGTGTGTGCGTGTGCGTGTGCGTGTGTGTGTGCGTGTGCGTGCTTGGCGTGCGTGTGTGTGTGCGTGTGCGTGTGTGCGTGAGTGTGTGTGCGTGTGCGTGTGCGTGTGCGTGTGCGTGTGTGTGTGTGTATCGCGGGCGCGCCTGCTTGTATCGGTCCAGACTAATGACGGTTTATAGTGCTAGCCCACTGAGATACCATGCCGCAGTTTAACATTAATACTTCACTCAGAGTATATTAACCCGAGCCGCCCAGTCCTTGTTTGATCCCATTAATTCCGAGCGCCGGTGGTAGTCTAGTGGTTACATCACTCGATCGTCACGCCGAAGACCATGGTTCGCTCTCCACGTGAGTACAATATGTGCAGCTCTTTTCTGGTGTTCCCCGCAGTCATATTACTGCAATATTGCTGAAAGCGGCGTGTGATTCTCCTCGCTACTTCTCATATGTAATAACATATTTTACTCTTGCTGTAATAAGTAGTTTATACAAAACATCTTACTTAAGACAAAAAACGGAAACAGTTTTAAGGGCAAGTATCTGTTTGGGGTGAGGCTATATTTCAAGGTTAGTTAAACTTAAACCCTGTATTAGAGATAGCACCTGCACTCAACTCTGCAAAGGGTGTGGTCATTTTTACCAACAAATTACAGGATGTATTGTCACCTATGCAGCTGCCCTTTATGAATACAAAAAACATATAACAGCTGAACGGACAGAATTATAAAAAACCCTACACGTTTAAGCCACATTTGAGCAAAACAATCGTAATTACAGCATAAATGTCTGAAGGACGACTCGAAAGAAACCTAAGCAACGTATACAAAACCGAGTAAGTGAGTGAGTGAGTATGGTTTTACGCCGCTCTTAGCAATATTCCAGCAATATCACGGCGGGGAACAACAGAGATTGGATTCACACATTGTACCCATGTAGGGAATCGAACCCGGTCCTTCGGCGCGACAAACGAACGCTTTAACCACTAGGCTATCCCACCGCCCCTTATACAAAACTGACCAAAGTTAGACAAGAAAATAAAATACATATATATATATATACTTACTGCATCAATATTTACCCATCCCGTTAGGCCCTTTGACCGACTTAGCTCGTCTTACGAACAAATATTATGTTACACGACAATATCAACAACTGGTGGCCATTTCGGAGAGGTGACCTTTTCTTCAGACGTCATTTGACCGTGAGAATTCCCTTATATTCGTTCTGACTTCAAGAACAATAACCTATTGCTGTTCCCATGTTAGAACTAAAGGGAACAAACATAACCACTACGAACTGCCTAATATGATACTTGGTGACTATTTACAGCACCAATGTGTACTCATTACCTTATATGGTCTTGGCGCTTCCTTCATCCTGAACCTGAGGACGATGAGGGAGAGGAAGGTCATGCCGTAGAACATCCAGGCGGTGAAGCTGAAGAAGTCGATGAGGCTGCCGATGTCCCCAGGGATGATCATGAGGAGGGAGATGAAGATCTGTAAGATGAGATGTTGGTTCAGTTATTGGACATTCACTATGGTAAGTTCATGATCCTTTCAGAACTGGAGCTCACTTTGAATAAAATAGAAGCGACAAAGATCTTTCCTTGATCATAATATGAGACGTCAACGCCAGAGAATAACCAGTCTTGATTTTCTGCCGAAACAGATTCCACTGAGTGTAAAGGCAATATAGTGGAGACAATTATATGAATAGATCACTGACAATTAGTGATGACACCAGGTGTTCGCGATAACGGTTAAACCTCCCATCATATCGGGAGCAAAGACTCCGACTCTATCATGAGCATGTGTTTATGAATCACAACAGTGGTGATAGCAGGTTTTCGCGAAAAGGTGAGCGTGTCCTGTCCCATCAGTGGCACCCGTCACAAATACGCGCAAAGGCAAGTAAATGTTTCACGTTAGTGAACACGGGGGAACATATGGTACACTGTAAAATATGGAATTGCATCCATCATTTTGTCACTGATGCGCGGAACACCTCCACATGTCTATCATAAAACGTTTTGAAAGCTTTACTTAGGTCTTGATTGTTGTAACCCTGAGGCATGATCAACCACCTTTTGAGCAAGAACTGTAGAACGGTCTTTGATATCTTCATAGAAAGAGGGGGCGGTGGAGTAGCGTTGTGGCTAAAGCGTTCGCTCGTCACGCCGAAGACCCGACTTCGAATCCCCACATGGGTACAATGTGTGAAGCCCATTTCTGGTGTCCGCCGCCGTGATATTGCTGGAATATTGCTAAAAGCGGCGTAAAACCATACTCACTCACTCACTCACTCATAGAAAGAGCATTCTCGGCTGCACCTCACACGTGCTGGAATGTAGACACCAAAAGCTAGAGTTGCTCCAATTATGTTCGACATGAGTGAATGAGTGAGTGAGTGAGTGAGTGAGTGAGTGAGTGAGTGTGGTTTTACGCCGCTTTTAGCAATATTCCAGCAAAATCACGGCATGGGCATGTTCGAAATGAAGGGTACGTTGATTATTGGAAAGTTGAACTCGTCCCTCTTGTCATACAGACTTGTGGAGAGTTTGTTTTGTCTTTATGCATGAATCCATATATGGAACACATAGGGCGGTTTCACCGGTTCCTTCCTTTTGGTCTATTTCTAGCTCAGTTGGGTAAATCAGTGGACATAAGATTGTTTGTTGTTTGTTGTTTAACGCAGCACTCACCAACATTCCAGCTATATGACGGCGGTCTGTAAATAATCGAGTCTGGACATAACAATCCAGTGACTGATATCATGAGCTTTCCTCCACTCAAATGGGATACGATGTCATGCATCAAACCCATCAGCAAGCCTGGCCAGCCGATCCCGTTAGTCGCCTCTTACGACAAGCATAGTCGCCTTTTACGGCAAGCATTGATTGCTGAAGACCTATTCTACCCCGGAATTTCACGGGTCGGACATCAGTAAAACATATATTGAGTGCACAAGACATGATAAAACCTCGCCACCCTCGAATCACACTTCACAAGACATACACCGTATATTAAGTAACGACCTGTACTCCCGCTATCCAACGTCCAAAGTGATACAGGCCGAAGACATTTTCCACTTAGGGCAAACCCGCGAACATGGTATAGTGCTGTCTAACCCAGATTCTCCGTGAGTTTGTGACAGAGATACGAATATGTATAACGAATATGTATAGCGTATATAGCGTGTAGTAATTGGCGTGTATACGAGTTTCCCCCATAGACATCCTACTCGCTCCTCAACTACCATCCACTCCATTCGAGCATGTACCATCCACTCCATTCGATAGGCCCGACCCCCTTTCCCTCCTCCGCGGGCATACTTTCCAAACAAAACCGAGGGCAAGTTTTTGATCTCACTTATGAACTGATCAAATAATATGATTTAGAAATAATTTTACTAATTGGTATTAACATTACTTCATTGATATTTACTGTTGAGAGTTTAACTGCAATACGCGGGGAGTACATCCGCGCGCTGCACGTGACGCACGTGCTTCAGGCCCGTTGTAACAATGAGCGCACGTGGTTCAAGCCAGTCGAATGAGTTCCACTGAAGAGGATGGACGCAGACAACAACGATATATTTCTGACGCAGTCAGTTTTTAAAGAATCGGCATCCTGTGCTGAAGAAGACAAGGAAAGTGATGACTTTAAATTCCGTTTAGGAGATCCACTCTCCGAGCGTGAAATAACCTTACAAGTTACCGTCAAAAGACTGTGCAAGACGTCCGGTATTGAGGGCATGAAGATAAACCATTCTTTGAGAGCCACGGCAGCCACTCGATTGTATCAAGGTGACGTTGATGAACAAATGATTTGCAAAATTACCTGTAGGTTGATAAACATTTTAGTCCTGCAGTAATAAGAAATTGTTATTCAGCAAAAGTCATAACATATCAAAGAAATATTTTTTTCCAAACCAGTAAGATGCTCTTTTTTATTTATGATATATATGGTAATATTGGTGTTTTTGGAATCTGTAATAGTTTTCAAGTGTATTTGTATGCTGTATGTGTAATACTTTCAGTAATCTGAACAATTTGTTTCAGGACATCGGAGCGACGCCGTTCGAAATTACAAGAGAACTTCTGACAACCAAAAGGCAACGGTCTCTGACATACTTAGTATGTTGAAAAAAATGAACTCGCCATCACGTGAAGAAGCTGATGCGAAAAGAGCAGATGACCAATGACCTGAAGACAAACTAAATCGAACTGTGACGCTCAATTTCAATTTCATCTAATATCAATAAATAGTTGAGCCATGTTCTGTTGGTTTTTTTCATGCAGAAAGGTAATTCAATACAGAGGGTATTTTTCGGGACAAAAAGCAGGCTTTCAGTAGAAAATCTCCCGGGATTTCTTGCAGAAAGCCCGGGGCTTACGCTAGGAATGCCTGGGGCTTACCCTGGGAATGCCCGGTAAACTACCAGTAGAGCTTTAGTCGGTAAAAGAAGACCCTGGCGAGACAACAGAGTGACGTCACTAGAGGTTTATAAGAAAATGTCAAACATCGAGCGAGGGAAAAGCCTGAGATTATTACGATAAAAGAAGACACATGAAAGACAATGGGATGACGTCACTGGAGGTTTATGATCTGACATAACCTGCGTGCACTCACTGTGAACAACATAGACGGCATGGGAGTCAGCTGCTTCACTTGGATGTAGGACAATATCTCAGGCAGGTTGTTGTCTCTGGCAGCAGCATATACAACTCTGACAATACAGACAAATGATCATATGCATATGCTTGGTGGTCTCGGGCCATAATACAAAATACTGAATATAATCAGGCTCTCTAGCAATTGTAATTTGACATTAAGTCATGCAGATGAATGATATTCTCTGGTTCGGGTATAATCTTAGATGGATATAGCCTTGTTTATACACACAGCTTGACCTAGATAAGGGTTGCAATTTCATCAAATTTGCCATAGAGAAATCTGATACACTGACATTGAATGTTATTTAACTATCGAAAATATGTGAGCGAAGAACAATATTATCGTTGTCGGTTATTATAATGTAATTGAACTCGGATAGATGTTGACTGTATTTAGTACTTGTGTGAGGGAGACATACAGACACACACAATGTTCGGGTATGTTATCACTAACCTTCCTCCAGTGAAGGCCGTTCCGTTGGCTCCCCCAAACGTTGACACCATGACAGACAGAGGCATGATGACGGCAGCAGTTCCTAAGATGCGGTCTCCCCAGGTCTACAAAAGTCAAGCTATTGCAGGAGGATTCACTGTTGAAACTAACAACCTGGAGATATACTGTTGAAACTAACAAGATGGAGGATTCACTGTTGAAACTAACAACCTGGAGATTTACTGTTGAAACTAACAAGATGGAGGATTCACTGTTGAAACTAACAGCCAGGAGGAGGAGGTTTAGTGGAGGTCTATACTGAAAAGTTGCCGTCTTACCACAGCCACTGCATTGGCGTCAAGCAGCTCCTGTCTCGTCATCACGCTGAGATAGGAGATGTTGGTCAAGACGTAGACGACGGTGACGAGAAGGACGCCTATGATGTTGGCACGTGGTAGATTTCTGTACATTAGGAATAAGGGAGGAGAGGCTAGTGTGCAAATCATGACCAGTTGATACATTGTAGCTGCATCACTGTGCGTAAATCTGTATTTCACGTGACCGACACATGATGCTCTGGCTTGTGATTTGCTTAATAAGTAGCAGAGGCGTACTAACCCTCCATCATAAAACAGTGAATGGAAATGTAAGTTGTAACATTGAACCTGTGGGTCTATTAGATAAAAAAAGAACCTAGTATAGAATCCTTATTTGAAAATGTGACCATCATTATATAATTCACTTACTTCGAGGGAGATTTCACTTCTTCAGTAACGTAATTGAGGTTGTTCCTGAGGAAGAGAATAGTTTTAAGACATAATATAAAAATATCCATGCAAGAGCATAACCAGTCTTGATTATCCGCCGAAACAGATTCCATTTGTCGAATAGCTGTTAAAATTGTATGAATGGACCATTGAAAAATTAGTGATGAGGCCAGGTGTTCGTGAAAAGGGTAAGCATGCTCTGCCCTACCGGTAGCATACGCAATTCACACATTTTGCATAGAAAAAGAAAGTATTTATTGCCTGACACCGCACAAGAGTACTCCTGTCATGCGACGGCGGCATGTAAACAAACCAGACAACCAACACTGCTGAATTTATTGTTGTATATTCGCAAAGAAATGTCATGAACACGAGACGATGCTCCACGATCACTCAACTTACCAGCCGTCATAGGCCCACAAAGCGCCGTAAAATGCCAGCGCTATCGTTGATGGTGAGGTTGTCGACCCCTCAAACCCCTCCGCCAGGACGCTGGTATTACCTGGGTGGACGAATCAGTGAAGGTGCCTGATGCAGTTATTCACATAAGTATATAGGACGCGAAACAACACGTGTACCTTTATTATAAGATCACAATGGTTTAACATGAACCCGTTTTATACATGATGCAAGTAACTCTGAAGCAATACCTTGCGCCATCTTGACTATACCCCCGACGATGATGATGGTGAGAGCAATGAGTTTACCGGCTGTGAAAATAATCTGCACCCGCGCGGCCAAGTTCGTGCTCCAGCTGTTTATAATGCCCACCGTGACTGAAACAGAGTCAGTGGTATTATACAATGGTGAATCGACGATCATATCCCTCATAAAGTTGAGTTCGCTCGTCACGCCGAAGACCCGGGTTCGATTCCCGACATGGGTACAATGTGTGAAGCCCAGTTCTGGTGTCCCCCGCCGTGATATTGCTGGAATATTGCTAAAAGCGACGTAAAACCATACTCACTCACTCATAAAGTTGAATGGTGGTAACAGTGAAAATATAAAACGTCAACGCAAGAAAATAACCAGTCTCGATTTTTTAATGAAACAGATTCCAAATTATATGAATGGATGACGAAAGTTATATGAATGTATCACTGAAAATCAGTGACGATGCCAGATATTCGCGAAGAGGATAAGCATGTCCTGACCTAATGGTAACATCTACCACTCATACGTCTTCGAAAGCTATTATACTCACCAATAGCAATAGCGGCCACGATTTTTGTGGGAATCTCCGGCTGGCCACACATGGCAAAGAGACTCCCGGCGTACTGGGCGAACGTCAAGGTGATGATAGCAAGTGAAGACGTCCTGATGACGATAATGGACGTCCATGAGAAGAGGAAGGCGGGGATGTTGCCGATGGCGGCACGGATGTAGGCGTACTCCCCTCCTGACAGACGGATCAGCGTCCCCAGCTCGGAGTAACACAGCGCCCCTGGAAGAGAGCATTCAATAGTTTCTTTCTACAAGTGGAGTACAGTTAACTACGGTTATAAAGAACTCAAATGGACCCTAAGTTTAGTTCGTTATACCGTAACTCGGAGTAGGCCAAGGCACCTAGATTGGAGAACGTTTCATTGACCATGGATCATAACCATAACTTAATTAACCATAATTATTCGAATACTTACAGGCCAGCGTGATACAGAATTCTTGGGTTTTTCTAACATTTCCTTGCGGGTAACTGAAATACCCAACAGTTATGCCAGCATCTGCTAGTCTTTGGTTTGACTATGGCCTGTTCGCACCAAAATTAAACGTACTCGTGGTTTCACCAAGATTGTAAACGACCTCAACCAGTGTCATTTTGGGCTTTCTTACCTCATTCGACTGACATGCGGGTAACGGACATACCTAACTCCCCCACACACTCACCTGTCAGGGAGGACAGCACCACCTACCCATGAGAGCGATGAGTCCCGAGGCCGCCCACACCACCAGACTGAGTCCCACTGACCCCGTGTCCCTCAGAACACCCTTGGGGGATATGAAAATACCCGACCCTGAAAACAATAGTGGTTTGTTTGTCAGCTACGTTTCGATGGACACAAACGGTTCAGGGCTATGACAATGATAAAATAAATACAAACAACAAATCCCTTTCCATAAACAAAAAAACCCGCTGAAAGTTGTGTCCATGCGGTGATTACGAATATATCACAAACAAATGTTCTTATTTTTTATATTGTGCCATTTTAGAAGCACATAAACCAATATCTTTTTCTTTGAGTGATGGAAAGACTTTTTATTCTTCAACTTCAAAATCGGCCTACATGTGTTTGCTGTTTACACACGTTATGATCAAATGTATTACCTCGTGGTTATTTACATTTACACGAAGGAATTTAGCTGTCATTTTTTTTCCAACCCATAAACGGATATAAACAGCTATTCTGACTTGGTAACTCGTTGTGTTTCCAGTTACCGGATTGTTACCATTTAAACCATTGTAGTTGTTGTAAGTTCGTGTGTTGTTGGCAGTGGCAGCAAATGATTGAAGAGCTGATAAAATGTTTAGTGCTGTGGCAGCCAGATTTCAAATGACAGTGCGATTAGAGTGAGTGAGTGAGTGATATCAGCAATATCACGGCGGTGGACACCAGAAATGGGCTTCACATATTGTACCCATGTCGGGAATCGAACCCGGGTCTTCGGCGTGACTAGCGAACGCTTTAACCACTAGGCAATTAGAGTCACGGTTTGTTGTAAACAAGGATGGGAAGCTTGAAGTTTCTGGATGTGAATTTCTAGAAGGGTGGCTGTACCTATATGAAAGCAACACGAAGACTATTGTCTAACGACCTGACTCCTATTTACTTGCCAAGTTTGTTTGTTTGTTGTTTAACGCAGCATTCAGCAATATTCCAGCTGTATGACGGTGGCCTGTAAATAATCGAATCTGGATCAGACAATCCAGTGATTGGCATCATGGACATCGATCCACGGCTCGGAGTCAGTGTAGTGTGACTGAGTGGGGTATTCATGTCAAACTGTGGCATGGTATCTCAGTGAGCTAGCACTATAAATTGGCATCCGTCCGGACCAGTACATGCAGCCAAACACACGTGCATGCACGTCGTTATATAAGTGCAATAATATTGGACGCGACATTAAACCCATTTTCACCTCATCTAGATCTCACCCGATCATGATCCATGGTGTATTTACAGTCTATCCGTGGGTTTCACGGATCGTGACACGCCGTGCTAAAATTGAAAGACTCTTCACCGTTATTACCTATGACTGTTCCGACGATAATTGAGATTCCGCTGACCAGGCCCACATTACGCTGCATCTGCACGACTTCTCCAGTGTCTGTGGAGCTGCTCTTCCCCAAGCTGTCATGCTGAGTCTCGGACTGGACATTGCGTTGTCGAAGGGACTCAACGTCTCCTTTCTCCCCATCGGGAACTTCAAAAAGAAATATATTTCATTGATGGAACGAACCCTTGGTGAACCTAGAATTAATTGTTTTTGTTTATGGCCAGTACATGTCTATTCAAGGAGTGTGTGAGTGAGTGAGTAGGGTTTACGCCGCTTTTAGCAATATTCTAGCAATATCTGGGCAGGGGACACCTGAAATCTCACACTCTCTACAACTAACACCATGTAACACTACAAAAGGTTTAACCTGTCCCACTAAATACAGCTGACACCATGTAACAATACAAAGGGTTAAACATCTCACACTCTCTACAACTAACACCATGTAGCACTATAAAGGGTTAAACATCTCACCCTCACTGCAACTAACACCATGTAACAATACAAAAGGTTTAACCTGTCCCACTAAATACAGCTGACACCATGTAACAATACAAAGGGTTAAACATCTCACACTCTCTACAACTAATACCATGTAACAATACAAAGGGTTAAACACAGTGTGCGAGCTTAGCCTCAACTTTGTAATCGCTATCTTTTCCCATAAAAACCAAGCCTCGTTCTCAAGTGCGACCTACAAACAGTAAATACAATATGCTAGCAGATGACATATTCACTCTACAGCCTCTGTCAATTGGAGTTTTTAAAAAGAGGTTTCTACTGAAACAACTTTTTTGTACTTTTATTAGTTTTCCATGTTACGAAATATATTCACTGGATATTAATGCTTTTCACCTGGATAATAAGGTTTATTCATTTCATGATGAGGATCATCTTTTTTAAAGTTGTCCTAACTGTATGCATACCTGACAGGGACGACATGGGCTACCATTATGATACGATGTCTTAATTTTTTCTCAGGAAGAATACCATTATTTCTTCTTTTGTTTCTATTTTTTTCTGACTTTTTGTATAGCATAAATGCACATACATTCACAAGATACAAAACTCTACAAGCGTTTAAAGTTCTATATAATATTAATGCATACACAAGCCGTATTGGTACAAATGTACTCTTGATTTTTTCCACTTGAAAATTCATTAGTTTTAGAGGCGCCAGAATTCCAATATGTTCATACCTTTCTTGACAAATCTCCAGTGGTGTCACTTGGAAGTTGCATCATGATAAATAGTTATTAAGACACTGGTATTCCAAGTGAGTTCCAAAAAAATAACAGTTGAAACACATGATTTAGCCATAACTGAGCAAAAAAATGTAATAGCCAAGGTATAATCCCAAAGTAATCGTCCACCACAACAGTAACAGTAGTATACTGCTACAGCAGACGATAGGTTTGAGCCAATCATTTTACTGATAGAGGTCACGTGACTAAACTCTTGACTTCTTCCGGTGCTGTGAAGGGCTATTTTCCCTAATCAAAACTAACAAACCAATACATATTTGAGACTTAAGTTCTGATTTATGTAAGCGCAAATGTCTGTTCAGTGTGATAACACTGACAAACTATGTCCAGACAGCTTAAGACAGAAGAACCAAATGTCAAACACCACAACCTGTAAACAATCAGTTTAGAGCCCTGACATACAAATTAGACCATCAATGACATATCAGTCAACACAAATTTAAACAAACGGTGTGAAGCTGCCCTAAAGTAACATATCTGTCACCAGAATGTGATGCTATCAGTCAGGTGCCGGATTTATTTGTTTCTGGCCGCTCTGTGTGGGACTTCTTGGTCACTTCGAGAGGGAAACTGGGGACTGTCTTTTATCCAATTAAAAACATGTTTACAGTTGTAGCTCCTCCTATTTTAAGTTGGATATAGTAAGCTTAGTGATCAGTGATTGCAGGAAACATAGGAATTGGCCCCTCCTCCCTTTAAGATAGATGGAACCGATATTTATGTGAATGACTTCTACCCTGTGAGAGAATATGTAATGTACAAAGGGTTAAACATCTTACTCTCCCTACAACTTAAACCATGTAACAATGCAAAGGTTTAAACATCGTACTGTCACTACAACTAACACCATGTAACAATACAAAGGTTTAAACATCGTACTCTCACTACAACTAACACCATGTAACAATACAAAGGGTTAAACATCTTACTCTACAACAACCAACTCCATGTAAAAATACAAAGGGTTAAACATCTTACTCTCACTACAACTTAAACCATGTAACAATGCAAAGGTTTAAACATCGTACTGTCACTACAACTAACACCTTGTAACAATACAAAGGTTTAAACATCGTACTCTCACTACCACTAACACCATGTAACAATACAAAGGGTTAAACATCTTACTCTCACTACAACTAACACCATGTAACAATGCAAAGGGTTAAACATCTTACTCTCACTACAACTTACACCATGTAACAATTCAAAGGATTAAACATTTTTCTCTCACTACCACTTACACCATGTAACAATACAAAGGGTTAAACATCTTACTCTCACTACAACTTACACCATGTAACAATACAAAGGGTTAAACATCTTACTCTCACAACAACCAACATCATGTAACAATACAAAGGGTTAAACATCTTTCTCTCACTACCACTAACACCATGTACCAATACAAAGGGTTAAACATCTTACTCTCACTACAACTAACACCATGTAACAATACAAAGGGTTAAACATCTTACTCTCACTACAACTTACACCATGTAACAATTCAAAGGATTAAACATCTTTCTCTCACTACCACTAACACCATGTAACAATGCAAAGGGTTAAACATCTTACTCTCACGAAAACTAACACCATGTAACAATGCAAAGGGTTAAACATCTTACTCTCACTACAACTAACACCATGTAACAATGCAAAGGGTTAAACATCTTACTCTCACTACAACTTACACCATATAACAATACAAAGGGTTAAACATCTTATTCTCACTACAACTAGCACCATGTAACAATACAAAGGGTTAAACATCTTACCCTCACTACAACTAACACCATGTAACAATACAAAGGGTTAAACATCTTACCCTCACTACAACTAACACCATGTAACAATACAAAAGGTTAAACATCTTACTCTCACTACAACTTACACCATGTAACAATACAAAGGGTTAAACATCTTACTCTCACTACAACTAACACCATGTAACAATACAAAGGGTTAAACATCTTACTCTCACTACAACTTACACCATGTAACAGTGCAAAGGGTTAAACATCTTACTCTCACTACAACTAACACCTTGTAACAATACAAAGGGTTAAACATCTTTCTCTCACTGCAACTAACACCATGTAACAATACAAAGGGTTAAACATCTTACTCTCACTACAACTAACACCATGTAACAATACAAAGGGTTAAACATCTTACTCTCACTACAACTTACACCATGTAACAATACAAAGGGTTAAACATCTTACTCTCACTACAACTTACACCATGTAACAATACAAAGGGTTAAACATCTTACTCTCACTACAACTTACACCATGTAACAATACAAAGGGTTAAACATCTTACTCTCACTACAACTAACACCATGTAACAATACAAAGGGTTACACATCTTACTCTCACTACAACTTACACCATGTAACAATACAAAAGGTTAAACATCTTACTCTCACTATAACTAACACCATGTGTGGGTTGCTGAAGAGTAATTCAAACCTGGATTGTCACTGGTCACAACGAGATATGAGATATGAGTACAAATACATTAAAATATGAAGAGGACTATTTCAGAAACATACCTTATTATATTGCAGGTATGTTTTATGCATGAATACGAATCTTTAAGAATAACACAGTTAGGCATTTTTAGCAGACGACACAAAACAATCTTAGTGTTATTCTCCGTGGGTCTATTGAAATCGCAAAATACCGCACAAATCAGGCTTCTTACATAATTTTCCCACGATATGCCAAGGAGAGGCACGGGCCACCGAGCCGTGGATGCCCGTGCCTATAATAAAAGAAGAAGATAAGATTGGGTTAAATGGCCGAGGGTGTGCAGGTACTAGTGGGCTACTAAGCTGCTAATTGTGTGTACCAAAATGCTACCGTTGCCATGGCCACTAGCGTGGCCAACGGCGATTCGCAGCTAGCGCTGCTGGCCTGAGACTGCTACCGCTGTCCGGCCCCCACGTAGCATATTTAAACGCTACCATTGCTTGGCAACTACCACGCTGCCAAAAGCAGCTACCGCTGCTGGCCTAAGTCAGACTACCGCTGCCCGGCCCAAGGTGGCCGGCCAAAGCAGATCCCACTGCCTGGCCCCATTGGCAAAACCATTGTGCGACTACCGCCGCGGACCCAACTGTCAGCTACCGCTTGACAAGACGACTTCCGCCGCCGGGCCCATATACGTTGCAATTGTTTGCCCCAACGTATGTTATTTTGCGATTCCCCGGCTGAAAAGTCGGGAAAGACAAGGTTCCCACTGAGAAGCAGGTAACCCCGGACAGGTTCCCGCTGAAAAGCAGGTAGCCTTAAGCACGAGTATTAATTTGGAAGCAAGTTAATTTGTTACTAGCAGTGAAGCCAACAAGAACCCCGCACACCTCGACATAGTTTATTGTTGAGACAGGTATTCGCATATATACATATATACAGCTATTTAGAAGTCATGTTTATTTACATATATCAGAATCGTTTAAAAGGTATGTACATATATACAAGCGCCCTGAAAACCTATTTTACATGTACATGTACAGGTTTATTTACATATATACAATCTGCTCTGCTGGTACCTGTAATAGAAAAAAACGCTGAAGAAAAGAAGTGATTAGCATTCCAGGTGAAGAGGACACAATCCGCTGAAAAGGAAAGAAAAGGAGTGGGTGGGTGGGTGGTTGGGAAAGCGATTAGATACAGCGATTAGATACAGCGATTATATACGGCGATTAGATACAGCGAAACACGTATGTACTTGAAGAGTGACGGTGCGCGAATGATGGACTGTTAACAAAGGCGGGATGATGCTTGCGCGGGATTATTGCCCGAGCACGGCGCAGAGTGGTGGGGGTATTCGCAGGACGTCGACCCCTCGAATTTTCCATTCGCTGGACGACGA